GGAGGCGGAGGCGGAGGCGGAGGCGGAGGCGGAGGCGGAGGCGGAGGAAGAACAGCTGTGATAAAATCTAACAATTAACCCTCACCTGGCAGGTGGGGAACAACACCTCCAGCTACAGTAGACTAGCTACTGGATTTGCCACGCGCCATGGTGGCCGCAGCCCGCTTCTCCAAAGCCATCCTGAAGGGATGGCAGACGGACAACCCTGTCACTGGTCCAACCTGAACTTCATAAACATGCGGCTAACAGTTTTGGGGGGTTGAGTTGGAATACATCAAGTTCATAGCCCTGCGCCTGAGAGCAGAGATCTTGGCGTTCCTATTTCCGGCGGACTGTGTGGGCCCCCAAACACGGGCGACTTGTCAGGCTGCCCTGTGCACTTTGCAGCATTGGCTGGCGGAGCGGCGGCCTCAGCTGCACAAGGCAGATGGTCAGGCTCAGACATCTCAATGTCCACCGGAGCCTCAGAGCCTTCACTGTCCAGCATGGTTTGAGTGGATGCCATGTCTTGGGAGTCATGGATCACATGATCGATTTCTGGGTACTCATCTGCAGCAGCTTCAGCACCGGAATAGTGGTCCGTGTCGTCACCCCCATTCTCCCCCTCATCACCATCCTCCTCCTCCTGGAGAGCAGGGCCACCATTGGCAGCCTGAGGTGTGCCCCATGCGCCATCAAGGACTTCCCAAAAGTCGCGCATGGCTGGATCCTGAGCTGGGAGTAAAATGGCACGGTTTGGGATAGATCATGCCTTTCCCTTCGATTCCAGAGAGGATTGAACTGTTGGGCGGGGAAATCTTGGAAAGGTCCACAAAAAAGAACGTCGAAGGCAGGGGTAAAGGCGGCGCTTAAGTGCTAACCCCTCCAAATCAATCCGAATAAAAGGAAATGGGGTGGGACAATTTGGCCCCGGCAAAATCAAGCCGAGTGTCGCGGGGGCGTACTGAACCACTCAACCAGCGACGCAGGCAGTGGGAAAACAGCCTCTTGAGACCCCAAGCGTCCAACGCGACGCTCCCATTGTCTTCATTGAGCGCGCTGAGTTGTCTCCATGCGATGACCTCTCAGGGGATTCGGATTGGGAAGGAGTGATGCCTAAAGACTTGCTTGTGGCCAAACACTAATGGGGCCCCAAGTTTTTCTCACACCCGGGCCTGTTCCCTCATGTCGCCGATAGGCACCGTGCGGGGTGTGGTTGAACGCTCCACCCACCACTTGGCCAAAGCCGTCAAAGGCACTGAGTTCAAAGAACAGGCAGGTCCAGTCGGAATCCCTTTTTGGTTTGGCTTGGGCCACATGGTGAGAACACCATTCTCCCTGGCCCGAGCTCTCAAACAAGCACGGGACTCCCAATCCTCCGCCAACGCCATGTTGCGGGCTACTCTGAACTCCACAGCGTTGAGCACCAAAAGCCTTTTGGAGTTGTCAGAATGTGTGGTTTTGTGAAAATGGGCTACCCTGATAATGGTCTACAATCCAGTTAAGGTTTTGGGGAACACCCCATCTTCACACAAACCCATGTGGCTTCAATAGCGCAAGCCAACACCGTGACACGGACGCGGCAGCCTTGCCAACCTTTCAACCATGCCGGGGCCACCCTCTGAGGCAGCAAGATCTCTGCGAGTGGCTCCATGCACGGATCGATGGAAGAGAGAAAAAATGAATGATCCAGGGATCTCCATCCAGGGTGTGGTTTGCCTTCCTGGTACTTTGTGATCCAACCAATTATTTGGTTTGTGACACCTACAGTTCATGTTCTAAAGCCATTTGCTCAGAGGCGTGTTGAATTGAGTCACCATGGGCGCCGGGGTGCCCACTCCTCTTTGAAGCCACCTTTGCCTCTGTTTGAACCGTCCTAGCCGGTCGCTTCTCTTCTTTGATCTTCTTTGGCATGAAAATGCCAGAAAACAAAGAAACGCTCGAAAGCAGAAATTATTGTAGGCTCTCTGAAAAAGTAGAAATCCCTGAACAAGCAGAAATTTAGCAGACTCTGGAGTCTGCAGGTATACTGTATTTATAGAGCCTTTATCTTCTTGGGGCTTTTCCACGGGCATAGGTCCAGTATAGTGTCCAGTATCTTTTGTATGCTTCCAGTTCAGTGGTGGAAGTTGTCACTTCTTTGCAGCTTGCTTGGTTGCCTTCACAGAGCTGAACTGAACTTAACTGACCTATCCTGCTTGTGAGGAAAACGCCACACACTTGATTTTGTGTGGTGCATTCTCCCCTTGTCCAATTTGCCTTTGTTTGTTGCTATGTGGGAGAGATGAACAAGAGATGAACGGCATGAAGTCGAGGCATGAAACCAATCCTGGATGTTGTTTTTTAGTGGTGCATTAACACTATAAGTCACTATAATGCGCGGTCAAAAGGCATGATCATCACTGTAATGGGCTTCTTCACACATGATATGTTTCCACATGGTATGCTTCTCCCTACTTCTCCCCAATTCTTTCTCGGAAACACACGCTGTCGCCTTCGGTACCGCAGGTCCCGTGCCCGAACCCGTCAGGCGATCGCGCGCAAGAGCCGGGAGAGGTCGCCCACCTCAAAGGCGAAGGCCAAGACGTCCCCGAAAGGACACCAGGCCTCCTTGACATCGCTGCCCAAGGTGCGCCAAACACACCGACCGTGGTGTGTTTTTTGGTGTCCTTGGGGTCGCTTCCGGACTTGTAAGGTCCAAGGTGGGTGATCCTACCGCTGCATTTTTGTTAAACGTTCTTTTTAATTTTGGTCCTGGTGCACTGGTTACTGTTGGTTCGTGGTTCGAGTGTTGGTCGTAACGGGCTGATGGAAGTGGAAATAAATTCCATTTCGAATCAGGGATTTGATTGGTGTGGGTTTGAAAGAGGTATTGATGATCATTTCGATAGCTGTTCATTTATGATCCCATTGCCGATGCTTTGTTGAGGCAAGCTGGAGCCTTGATGCTTCAAGACCCGATAAGCATTGTTGCTGGGACAGTTGTTTCCCTTCGTTTCATGCGGCGTACATGAAACGAGGATGCCATGTGAACACCACATCTTCAAAAGCCACACATAGAAGAGAGGCAAAAGATGACTTGGAAGTTGGCTGTCCTTCACGCAACATATTATGCAAGATTCGAAAAGGGATATCAGTGGTTTGAAGATGAAATGGACTGGAGGGCATCCAAACAGGCAGGATCAGGCAGGAATTTTGCGACATTTCAATCATTGCAACGACCACTTTACCTGTTGCCAACTGGAGCTGTTGAACATTTGATCGGGTAGCGCAGATTGCTGCCTGACAAACCGTTCTTCTGCTGGCAGATCTCAATGGAACTCTGGAAGCTTGTGCAAACTTTCCAGACTCCACTTTCCATTGCGAAAACACAGATCTAGAGGACCTCTAAATCCTGTGATCCCTATCCAACGAAGCATTTGGATGGTTTGATCCAATTTCCATTAATTTCATGGAAGAGGAGTCGAGTTGCTAGAAAAGCCACAGCCGTGGGACACTGCAGAAGCTCACCTTCCCCAAGGATGTGTCGTTCTTTTTACTAAAAGAACGACTAATACCACAAATCAAGATACAAGATTCAATCTCATTTAATTCAATCATATATATTATATCAACACAACATATATGTTGAGATTGTTTTTGGCAATGCACGTAAATCCACAACTGACTCTACTTCTCTATGGGTCCCAGGAACAGATTTCTGACCCTCCCAGGATGGAGAGATCCGCATCGAGACGGGAGCGTTGAAGGACCTGTTCAACGCTTTTTCTTTATATATTTTGGTCGGTTGGATGATCATCGGGTTGGCATGTTCCGCATTTTATCGTCCTTTTTTTCAGGACTATCATAGACTGCTTCAGTTGATCTAGTATGATTTGACTATAGACTATAGTTTCTTGAAACAGAAGCATGTTGGAGGTGAATGTGCTTACACCAATGAAGCGAAAAATGCCAGTCTAGAGGCAATCCTCAGTTTTTACTGGTCAGTGTGTGTGTGTTAATTTTATTGCAAAGATCGCAAGTGCACACGTTTCATGTAGCAGCGCGCTTGCGCTCTTCACCAAGCAGCTTTGCTTGGTTTCTGGTTGCAAAGAATCCCCCGACCGGACCCCGACCGACCGACCGGGATGACGAAACGTCGCTGCGGAACATGGAAGAGTAGGTGGGCGTCTCAGACAGGGCGTCTCGGCGTGGCTCATCGGCGAAGAGCGGATGTGCTCATTTTAGGCTGACCCGGTGGGAACAGTGGGATTTCCAAAGTGATGTCCTGTCCAAAAGTACAGAGAATCCTGGACTTCCGGATAACCGGATAAGTAGGCATGAGCTTTTTGATTCTTTCTGATGATCTATGCGCTGCAGTTTCTTTGGCTACAGCCGTGGGACTTCTTGCCAAAGCACTGGTAAATCTCGTCAACAGGCTCGGAAGCAGGACGTCCCTGCATTCACCACACGTTAAGTGTATGAACACCTCATATGCACCGCATGCACCCTGTAGACATGGATGACTTGCTGGCCAAGCACAGCCCCAGAAAAGCCCTGCGTGTAGCCATGATCGCCAAGCAGCAGCAGCTTCCATGGTTGGAGGATGTGCCACAGGAAGGTGTGTGGGTAGAGGTGGCACCAGTCTTGAGCAGACCATGTGGTGAGGGACAATCGTGGAAGGAGAGGGTCGACAGGTCGCATGTTGTGAAGATCTATTTTTCGCATCGCTTGTATAACAATCGCACCACGGTCCTGGTGTTTGTCCTAGCTAGCTCAGCAAGTTCCACCGCAACAGCGGCTCTTAGACTGGGCGTCCACCCCTCTTTGACTGGGCGTCCAAGTACCCCCCCTCCCCCCCAAAAAAGAGAACAAGGCTCCTCGGGTGCGAGCCCTGCTAGGACTATCCTCATTTGGATTGCCGACGCGAATTTGGCCCCCTCATTCGTCATCGAGCGGAACTTTTTCACCAGTGTCTCGTGCGGCAGGAGCCGCTGAGAGCCACTGACGTCGAGAGTGGTTTCTGTTTTTGCTATTTCCTGCTAAGCAGTGAAGAGGCATAACGGTGGCACAAGGTTTCCTAATATGGCAGATACAACGGATGGAACATATATGAACATATATAGTCCAGGCCGGGAGAAACCTCAGCTTGCAACATCACTGCTGATATGTGGCCTTGGAAGAGGAAGCAAATCTTCAGACGATGATTGGTGTCATTCTGTCTCCGACCTAGAAACAAGGGCATCGCTAATAGTAACAAGGGCATCGCTACTAGTACACTCAACACCCAATCTTTTGCATAATGTATTGGGTGAGATGAGTCACAGTCGCAAGACCGTTTTTTCCTTCAGGCGCTTGAATCACCTGTTTGTCAGCTCTGTGGCACCGGCGCCTACCTGGCCGACGACTTGGCTGGACCTAAGCACTGGACGAGACTGTGGACCAGGATTCAGATGCTTGGTCTTACGGGCCGAGTGTGAGAAGTGAACGCTCCACACAAAGAATGAAGTCGTCACGCCGTTCGGGTTGAATGTAATGACGAAGTCGACACCAACAGGGTTGGAAATGTGGAGAACATTAGTTGGGGAGATTCGAGAATACGTGGTTGGCATCAACCTCTCTTCAGACTTTGCCAGTTTGAGCACACTTTTAGCCAGACGTTCTGAAGGAGAGGGGGGTTTCCATAAATTTTTGTCCTTCCATTCAGCAAGAAACTCCAATCACTATAGGACCTGCATGTTGAATGAACATGAAGACTTGCCTTGCGCGAATTGTTGTGCGAAGATATGTTCGGGGAGCGTCCAAAGGTCAGCTGGGATGTTGTGGACATTGACAAGCAAACTGGACCAAGGAATTGCTCAAGACCCTCAACTTTGGACACCTCGTGGGGTGCAGGTCAGGAATAAACAAGTTGTGGGTTGCAAGTGTTCTGGTTTTGTGGCTATTGTACTGGGTTTCCGCAATCAATTTGGGCACCAGTGTGGCGTGGCATCAACTGATCACTGAATTTGAGGGCTTCGCCGTCGATGGTGCAGCTGATTGCACAGTCCTGGAACGAGCATCGAATGCCGGGAGGAAAGATTCGGATGAACGAGTTGGACGGTCGGATCCACATCTTCAAGGACCTTCAGTTAGATTCGATGTTTGAATAGAAGACCTTGCATGTACAACCATTGCCGACCAGTTCTACTGGGCGAAAGATTGGACTCAAGAAAAGATAATTTGGTAAGCAGTGGCTAGTAGTGTGTACAGAGTTTGGAAGATCCCTCATCTCAGTGCCCAGCATCAAGATGCACATGGTGATGCCGACTTATTCAAGTGTTTGTTGTCAAGGGATGAGACTGAGAACGTGCCGAGAACAAAACTCCACACAAAAAAACGATGAACCACTGGTGCATAGGTCACCATATGGGCACACATCCACCAGCCTTCCCACATCAGGAGCCGTCAAAATGTTCCGTGCCGTGTCCTTCCCTTGGCGTGCCCCTTACTTCAGTGATGCCGACTGCGAACAGCTTCACAGCACCTGCGCCCGATTTCCGCGATGATGTGACTTGACTTTGCAGTTCTGTCCTGACATGTGCTGCCCTTATATAATGCATCCTGCTTGGCATGGACGTCAGTGTGTCAAAAGATCATATGTTTTTTCATATATATGTATATGAGTATCTGTTTGTATATATACTGTATATGTGTTATACATGTAAGTTATATGTTTTAATCTGGGGTCGTGACCAGCTTGGACCAGACGCGCGCGCACATGTGCACCAACCTTGGTCGTTCGTTCTTCCGCCGTTGGTTCCGAGTCCGAATCCGAGTGGTCGGACTGCTCTTTGCGCGTCATCGTGGGACATGAGATGATGATGGAGCCATATCCCATCGCAAGCTGCTGCTCCTCCTCCGCTGTTCGCTTGGAGCGAGTCCAAACCTGGCTCAGGCGCCACGAACGCGCGAGGATGGAGGATCCGAGCGGGAAAAGTCGCTCAAACATAGGTTTTTTGGTTGGGTCGAAGACGGAGAAGTTGAGAAGGCGGTTTCAAATAATATCTACAATTCTGATGGTTCAACAAGTTGAACGGTTGATCATGGAAGAGTCCTATAGCGACCTCGATGGGCTTTGAAGAAATCCGGAAACTGCCGTGAGGGTAGCGGTAAGTCAGTGAACCAGTCACGGTGTTTGGGAGTTCAATATGTTCAATATGGTGCAGGGCAGGGAGTTTCTTCCATCGGGATTCTTCCATGGAGATCAACACATTATTTTGGCCACCCCTCATGTAAGTGGTATCGAGGAAACACGTTTTTCTCCCGTTGTTCGCTGAATGTCAACAATATTTCAGAGGGCCATGGGCTGTCCATGTCTTTGCAGCTGTCGTTGGGCGGTATTTTCCACAGTGGCCCTTGAACGGCAACAGTCAGCAACATTGTAAAACCGACGGTGCTTTGGCGGCTGCGGAGGGTTTGGTCGCCAACTCCGGATTGTGTGGCGTGTTGGGAACCCAATTCAACGACTTTTCTTTTAGATATTCATCTCAACACACTCAGACCGAAACCTTTTTTTGCTTTAAAACTCGTTCACGAAACATTACAGTATCCACGTGGTCTCCAATAAAATTTTCATCGGCCCTATGGAATCAGTTTTCCCAATATAAGCTATCAAGTTGATTGAAGTCCGTGCGTTTTGGCGGTTCATTGTTTGTCGCATGACATCAAAAGAGCGTTTCTACGTACTTCGGGACCTCAGTCGGTTGGGCTGCTGCGGACGCCAGTCGGACTTGGACCACATGACGAGACGCATCTAAGGGCGTCCGATCGCTCCGTTCGCAGGGATGCCCATTTGTTACTAGTCGCTTCTTGTTACTACTAGTAAGGCACTTGTTACTACTAGCGTGGCACTTGTTACTACTAGCGTGGCACTTGTTACTAGTCGCTTCTTGTTACTACAAGGGACGAGTCCGACGAGTTCCCTTTGTTACTAGCGGTTTCTTGTTACATTGGTAGCGATGCCAGGAGCTTCTAACCTAGCGGACCTAGCGTCGCTCCGTTCGTTCGCTTCTTGCCTTTTGCTCGCTTCTGGGCATTGCTCACTGGTGCTTCACTGATTTAACCGTTTCGGTGCCGGGCCCAGTTGCTTTGCACTTTTCTGCCGATGCTCGAGGTCTCAAGCCTCGTTGCACCACGGGGACATTGTGGAGGTTTGAGACGGGTTTTGTACCGCCAGTGACCGCCAGTGGAATGTGGAATATCTCAAGCATGAACCAAGGTGTCCAGTGACAATACTGTGGAGATTTTCAGGAATATGGCGGTTACACGGCCTGCTTGACGATCACCTGGAATTCAAGTGCTCAGATTGTGGGAGGAGTTGCACTTTGCTCAAACCAACAGACGCAGGTTCAGTATTAACGCAGTGATAGGTTCCTTCATGATATGTCTCCAACTGGAGACTTGCCTGTCACATCAGGTTTTGTTGGGGACGCAGGTTCATCCTCCAAAAACAGGCATCACCCTGGGGTTCTCGGATACAAGCCTTGTTCACGCACGGTGTTTTTGCGATAGAACCCTTTGTGCTCTTTGCTGAACATGGAACATGACAGGCCTTGGCAAGCCACACCTGTTCATGTATCGTAGACACATTCCTTGGTCACTTGTGAAAGATGATAGAAACATATAGAAACCGTCCAGATATGTCCAGATGGATGCAGAATGATGAACACTCCTGCACACCTCTTCTGTTCTGATTTCATGTTGGGGTCAATGGCCTCAACTGCATGGCCTCGCGCATTTGAAGGCCAGGAAGACTTCAAGAACCCCGGATCCCATGACTGTTGAAGTGAATGAATAGGGCACCATGTCGTGTCCCATGTCAGAGCCATCCAATGACCATCCTGGGCGGGTGTTTGAATTAGGTCGTGTTAATGTATACCATACACCAACACGTCCTTGACCCCTTCAACAGTTCTGGTGTGATTGCCCCTATATACAGTTCAAAACTAAATACAATTTTCCATGACCAAATGCGTTTGATGCCATTGAATCGTCAAACCTGTGGCTGATTTGATCAGAGGAGTCTTAAGGAGCTCCCTCTGCACTTGCCAGTTTGGTTTGGCATTTCTCCCATGCCAATATTGCTGGCAGGGATGATTGCGAGTAAAGCCTATTTATAGCAGCAGGCTTGACCTGAAATTGAAGTTGTGCAGAAGCAACTGACCGACTGTTTAATGGTTCTGCATAGCAAGTTGCCAACCATGAATGAGTGGTGGTTGGAAATCATGTTGGATACTGTTTAACAAACACATGTCACATGGTAGCAATTTATGTAATGTAGTCAGTAGCTCAGCTCAGATGACTGCACTACGGTTTGTATGCCTCTGATCGACAAACCGAATGGAATCCTCGAAGCTGATGGGAAGAGCACTTCAGGTCCTGACGCGTGGTGTGGGTTCGCTAGAAGTTATGTTGATGTTTTTGGCCATGGCATGGCATGGCAACATGGCATATGACATCCCCCAGTGCACGATTGACAGGGTGAGGGGACAAGGAAAAGCACTGATTCAGCACATGTATCATGCACAAATGTGCCCTGTTCTTGTGAAGGGCATGGCACATGTGAAGAACAAAGGTTCAACTGATTCTCCATCAGCGTGTAAGCACGCACGTTTGAGAGTTACCAACGGTTTCTGTCAGTTTCACTGATTCACTGTTTGCTTGGCAAGTGTGGTTAGGGTTGATCAACGTTTGGAGTTGGCCCCAGTATAGACATGAAAAGGTTTTCAGGTGTTTAACCCTGTGTGTGTTTAGGCTGATATTGATATTTGCAGACCAGCTAAAACCTACGCTGCATAAAGCTTGAGTGTGCAGATGTTTTTCCTTGCAGTTTCGAGTGCGGAATTTGATGTGTAGCTTGCTTTTTAGAGCTATAGTGCGTTGCGAAAGTCGCTGTGGAGGGGCCAATGTTTTCGATCACTTAGCGTCTCTAGAGCAGTTTGATGTGATGCGGTCAAGCTTGGAACTAAGGTTGTAATGTTGGAGGCATTTCCCAATTCATGCAGAAAACGCTCTGCAGAAAACTGGTCTTGCATTTGTATGCATTTATGTGCAACCCATTGTTTCCGAGATTTGGTTGCTTTGGCTAGCTAGGGGCTCAACAAGCGTACGGAGAGTCTTGGGTAAACAGAGAGGTGTTTGTATCATGTTATGTTGTATCCAAATAAAAGGCATTACTATGCATCACCAGTAACAAGAAGCTACTAGTAACAAGTGCATCGCTACTAGTAACAAAGCCATCACTATTTGCCTGCTCGCAGCGGAAACCGGGGTGTCGACGGACGCTTTCTGTGTCGACGTTCTGACGCTCGAAGAGGAGCCGTTGCTGATGAAGCGACAAATGTCCCCAGGAGTCGAAGGAGGCTTCGGCATCTTTGCCTCAGGCCATAGCGACCGCGCCGTGGGGTGGGGTGAGGCTTTGGAGGGGGTGAGGCGAAACGGATTGGATGTTGTTTGTTGTTTAAAGCTTTGTCATGATGTTTTCACATATTGAACAGATAGTATTTTAGTGTATAGTTACACATGTTATTCTTTTGCGCCGGGATCACAAGCATTTGAGCCAGAGAATGCCAGGTGAAGAGACTCAGAAGCAAACTCACATGTAGAGGTTGAGGCTGTGTGTGGATGGCCACAACATGTGGCCGAGGCCTGTACTAATGATAATGCACCAAAAAGGAGAGCACCATGCCTTCATTGTTGCCAGTATTTGTTTGTTGCTGCACTTTTGGTTGTGACAGAAATACCTCAGGTGCAATGTTCCCTGATGCTGACAAGATCAAAGAGAAGGTTCGTGCATCCTTGTTTGAAGAGGAACTGAACCCTGAGGACCGGGTCCAAGGGTTCAATGAACGGCTTTGTCGATATGAAACACGGACATGTTAAAGTCTTATTTCAGATCGGCGGAAAAGGCAGTTGGGAAAGCACGCACTTTCCAGTGTTCAAAGTAGTAGCTTCTCTAAGTCAGTCATCAACGAGGTGACATACTTCCCCCTTATGAGGTAGTGCATTGGTTTGATTTTGTGATATTTTGTGTAAAAGCCATGAAATGTGTCATGTATTGTCATGTTGTTTTTTCGCGCTAAGGTTTGGTTCATTGCATAGCACTTGCATCTCACACTCGAACAAAGTCAAGTGATTTGCTGCCTGATTTTGCAGCAGGACTTGTTCAAAACCACTGGATGGTGCAGCACTGAGAAACAGACAAGGCACAAGCAGCAGCCCAGGGTGGCTTTAGACACCCAGCGGATGATGCCCAGTGGAGGTCGGTGCCCATCGCATAATGTGTCACAATCGTTTATGTTGGAAAATTTGGTTTAAACTGGATTGCATAAATTGGTTTGTGTGTCACCCTACAGCCTCCAGATAGCTACAGGCCGCCAGTTCGATCCAACGTCGAATATGTTTGTCTACGAAAGCAGATGCTTCTCAGAACCTCAAGCTGCTATTGCTGACAAACTTTAAGCCCTTGGATTGCAAGTTGGATGTGACAGCATTGAAGCCCTTTGACAACTCGTCTCTTTGCGCTGAGAAAGTTGCTTTTCGACCACATGTCTATTCGCCCGACTTAAAGTTTTTCAACCATTTTAGGCCCTTCCATAGAGGAAAAGCATTGCTTACCCAGTGTGGCAGGGTTGTGTTCGCCTGAGGTTGAAGAGAAATGCCTTGCTCCCAACTCATTCTCGCCGGTCGCACCTCCACCAACCACCAAACCAGCCAGCATGGCCCCTGGCCAAATGGATGAACTTTATAGTGCCTATCTACAGGACTGGCTTCCATTTGTCACCAGCTTCTCACCTGATGAAGCTCCGGTTCGATTTCTGGCTGTGGATGCTGTGGCTGAAGCCAGCTTCTCCAATGCATGCTGTTTAGCAATCAGCCAATATCAGTGCCAATATCCTGTTCCATTTCACGGTCGGACCATTTCAGTCCCTCGTCTACGAGGACATCACCCAGGTGCAGGGCGCACTCATCACAGCTGACCTCGGAAGTGGCACCCCCAGCACTCCGCTGAGGTGCCAAGCAATCGCACGTAATCAGCTCTTCAAGAACATGACCATGGTTGTGATCGCAGCTGCCTCGGGCAAACGATGGAGATGTGGTTTTGGAGACATCAAATTACAGTAGATGTGTAGACAGACTGGTTTGAACTGAAACCAGCAAAATCCGTTTCAGTTGTTCCCAAAACCAAAGAGTTCATGTTGTTCTATCCTATATTACTATGGTCCATGGTCAATTAATGTTTCACAAACTTTGAGTTTGCAGGCCTACGTTTGTTTATTTAGTCGGGACCCACCACTCCCTATGTCCCAAGGTGTTGAACGCCATTTGGATTGGCATTGACACCGACCTGCTCCTTGTCTCAAAGCTGCTTCCACACATATAGTCATATAGTTGTAGACACAGTAGCCGAGCGGCTGATGTTTGAACATGCTTGAACGAACATCGTGGAATTGAGTCTTGGGGGGGCGTTTCACTGTGTGATCCATCACGAGATATGATGTTCCAATGAGGAACACGAGGAATTCCGTTGTCAAACAATATTGCCATCCAAGTCTTGGCTACTCAATGTTACATTCTCCAAACTATAGAGACTCATATAATATGACTCATATATTACATTATACGTACTGAATGAGTTGAATTATTGTCAGTTCAATAGGGCTTCACCACCGCCACCATGTTTATTTGCATCCCGCGTTTGCTTGGGCGGACGAATGCGGACGACTTGAAGATGCCGGCCTAGGAACACCTCCGACCTGGAGATCAACTCACCGCTGATTTTTCAAGTGCCGACCAGGGGGGCGGGGATGTGGAATCTAGCTCGACTGATGTAGTAGCTTCTTGTTCCTAGTAGTAAGGCCAGGAGCCCCTAGTAGCGATGCCCTTTGTTACTAGTAGCTTCTTGTCCTGAATAATTTCTCCTTGGAGATGGGGATAGGGGCTGATTCGGAGGGGCGGTGAACGCTTCAATGATTCGGCAAATTAGGGCGGCCGGGTGCGGAGCGATACCTCTGTAGGTTTGAAGAGTATTCATGATGCATACTCCTACCTAAGCATGAACAGGTTGAAACCGGTTATAACCTCAGGGAAACTGAGTCAGCTTGCAACCATGCAATCCCAGATGTTTCGATGAGGCAAAATCATCAGATCACAGTAGAATGCTGGGTGATAAAGCATTTGACCTTTCTGATCACCAGGTGGTGGACAACTTCTTTTGCATCTTCTTTTCCTTCGAAATTTCCGTGCGCTTCCTTGCATATCAGAAAAGCCGAGATGCTTTCAAGGACCAGTCCTGACAGCTTGTGATGGATCTGTGTTGCACCTGTGAGGTGTTCTTGCAACATGGCAAGCCCACGCACTTGTTGATAACAACAATCACAGCACAAAGAAGACCTGTAAGACTTGTGTGATGTCAGGCTGTCACAGAATGCAGTCACACCACCTCCATGGTTTTCTATCTCACAAGCATTTACACTTGACAGTAATATGATTGATGACCTACACCCTGCACCACGGGGGATCCTGAAGTAGAGTTACTGTCGCTCCTTTGAACGGACATGAGACTACGTAGTGACGTAGTGGGGCATTTTGTCAATCAACTGTGGCATGCATTTGGGGTAGGACTTCAGCTTTATCTTTGACTTCTCGCTCGTTTTGACGATGATTTGGGAGGCACATGGTCTGGTTTTTGGGTGGTTGTGAGGGCAGTATTGAAGACAAATATAATCTATTTAATTTTGCTGTACAGATTGGCCTTTGGAACGACAATCATGGCATCGCATGTCAATGCTACATGCTCAGTTTTCTTGGTTTCCAGTGGTTGCACCGAAAAGGATCTCAGAATTACGCATTACGACATCCTCAATCGCTTCACCTGTTGACGCGGATGCTCAATTCCGAAACTCCTTCTTTGCGCTATGCTTAACAACCAACCAGAGAGGCTGTTCATCTCGTCCCCAAGATCTCGGCCTCGCCACGTCAACCAGGTCTGGGTCACTTCGATGTTAGTCTTCCTCATGCAAAGCCACTTGGTGCGAAGCCCGTGGCCCGAGTGTAGCCAGGAGCGGACACGTGCACAGAAACGCAGGCAAGCGATGGAAAGACCAGCTCTTGTTGGGTTTGAAGCTTGCGGATCTATGTGGTATTGGATGTATATGGTGTGGTAACTGGTAGTTGAATGGTGAATCAGCGAGTCTCTTCCTTTCCCCACGCATGTTTCTTTTGTCTCCAAGGAGATTGCAACGAGAACATGTTCTACCCCTGGAATGTATATATAAGTAACCCTCCACCTCAAAAGGACCAGTTTTACGAGGTCCTGCTGTAAACGACCCAGTTTTACGAGGTCACATTTTTTTGACCTTCAAAAACTTTCAGGTCACCATTTCCACGGAAGATTCTTTGGGCATTAAGGTCACCACTTCCACACAAATTTCTTTGGGCATTAAGGTCATTTCCATGGAACATTGTTTGGGAGTCGATGGTCCTTATACATACATATGTGCATGCATACCGGAGACATGGTACCCATACGCTCACTTTTAGCGGCGACATGCCTTACGCAAGTCCACGCGTGCGAATCTTTTCTTGGTGTATTTTTTTTGCGCACGTTGTTTGCTCAATTTACCAGTTACATTGCCATGATATACGTGGCTACGTGGGAGTCATGTTTGCTGCTTGCAATTGCACGCGTGCATTGTTCAAGCCGATGTTAGTTCATCGTCAAATCGCATTAGAAGCTTGCAGGTCCCATGCTATAGAGTCACGCTAGAGTCACGCTAGAGTCACGCCCAATGATGTCCATGGCGAAGTTTTTGACGTCCTTTACTAAGTAAAGGACGTCAAAAACTTCGTGGTTTAGGTGGGAGTCACGCGAGAGTCACGGTCCCATGCCCGGGCCAGAAACGGCCAATTTCAACCACATGCGTTGTCTGTGTTGTAATGCATCGACCTTGCTTCAGATTAAAAAGATCTAACAGCCTGGGCGCCACTTATATGATATGCATGCGCTTGTTGCCACACATATTTTGTTTGTGCGATGTTCGCGCGAAACGGAAAGTAGAGCAAAACGCTCCTGGAAAGCCATTGGTGCAGCATGTTGAATCACAATCATCGTGCCATGTATATGTGCACCATATATGCATAAAGTAAAAGACGTCTTTTACTTTTACCATTTGCCAAGTAAAAGACGTCTTTTACTTCTTATCACGAAAGCTAGCGAAGCTAGCTGGAGTTACTCTTGCGATAGCAAGGTTTCTTTCGATCGGGTGCAAATCCTAACCCCTGATTTTTTAGGTCGAACCCCCCCCCCCCCCCCCCCCCTCCTCTCCCCACCTCCCCTCTCCTCCTCCTTGTCTTCCTCCCACCCCCACCTTCCCTCCCTCCCTCCCTCCTCCCTCTTCGCAAGTTCGACTCCCTCCTGTCGTCGCTCTTTGGCATGCGGTTAGCGTTGCGTATCTTGCGGCCGCACTCGCTCACTCTCACTCTCACTCTCACTTTCACTCTCACTCTCACTCTCACTGTCTCTCTCTCTCTCTCTCTCATCTCTCTCTCATCTCTCTCTGATCTCTCTCATCTCTCCCTCATCTCTTTCTCATCTCTCTCTCATCTCTCTCTCTCTCTCTCTCTCTCTCCTCTCTGTCTCTCGTCTTTCCGTCTCTCTTCTCTCTCTTCTCTCGCAGGAGGATCCGGGCAAAGAGCCACATAGAAAGGACTCTTCACCTGGAATCGTTTGCCCCGCCCAACTTGTGCAAGGCGTCCTGCCTTCTGCTACTCCATGCGACTGCCTCCAAAAAGAGCGCCGTGTTTTTTCCTACCTCGCTGCCCTCCACTTTCCCATTCTGGAGCGCTAGCTTTCGCCCCCCCCTTGGCCTCAAGTAGTTGCCAAAGTAAAAGACGTCCTTTACGGAGTAAAGTCGGGCTTTCCACCATTTCCACGAAAAGTTTTTAGAGGTCGAATTTTGCTATCAGTTTTGCAGAAAATAGAGCCCAGTAAAACGAGGCCTTTGATTTGGAGGGTAAAGAGACACATATCACTGATATCATATCACAGTACATATTACTTGACTAAATAGAACGAAGAAAAGACTCATGGTATCAGAATGGCAATGATCATGAAGTGTTGGTTTGTTTGTGCTGTTTGCACCCAACTAAATCGACTCGAAACCCGCCTGAAAAAAAAAACGCTTGCCTGCTTCGAGGATCAGTAGACGCCTCGGCTGGAAGTTATGTCGAACGTTGAGCATCGTTTCGGTGGTTTCAGTTGGGTTCAATTAAGACACACATCGGATTGATTCGGATTGGGGTCGGTGGTGGAAACCGTTTCATACATGTGCTATCACGCGTTTTTGATTTTTTATTGTTCAGAAGTGGGCATCACGTCAACATTTGATGGTTTCGACCAGTGGATGTGCTCGGTAGGTCTTTGTTTATTTTGCATGTTGTGCCTTTCTGCTGCGAGAGTTGACCTGGGTCCTCAGAGTACACCCGGCCAAATGTGATGGGATTTCATGGGTGTTTCTTGATTCTGAAGTGTATGGTACCCAATGTCAGATGGATCTTGACGGACACGCCTGGATTTCTCCGACCACGGGGCCGACCACGGGGACTTGTGAGATGGTTTGCTTCAAAAAGGGATGATGCAGGCCGGCTTTGAGTTTTCCCCCGAATGCGATGGCTAAATGCTTTGTTCTGAGAGTAGGCTGGGTTGATTCAGAACATGATCCAGATCCATTGAGCTTCGAGACTAGACCCAACGAGGGGAACTGGAAGTTTGACGTCTAAGTTGACATCACCTGCAACGCGTACTTAAATTCACACACTTATACCCTGCTCGTGCAGTCTGTGATACAGTGGAGCAGGTGCCAAGATGCCTCTTTTGCATCATGGATTGGATGTGGGCCCAAATGATCAATCCTGTTATCAATGGAAATCATGTCGAATCGATTTTCCAGGTCGACGCATCCGTCCATTTCAATTGGAAGGTCTTTACTCCAACCTGAGAGGCACCGCGCACCAGTGCGCCATGTAGCGCAATGTGATAAATCTGTGTTCGGCAGAGAGACCGAATCGCACAACACATAAATCATCTGCACTTTGGAAAGACGCCGTGCCCTATCCGTCGGATTTAAAACAGCGTAGAATCCAGCACACAGTTCCATCAACTTCCCGCGGCGCCCCTCGCACCCCACACAGATCATCCCCCACTTTTCCGACCCGTCGCACCTTCCGAGGGCGGCGCAAACTTGTCCGTGCTGCGGATCCTCCGACTCTTCCGCCTCGTGCGAATCGCGCGTGTAGGAAGGCGGGCTTTCGTGCGGGCGGGAAGGCAGGCGCAGAAGCATCTGGAGATTTTTGGAGACGGAGGTCCCAACTTAGAGCTTGGAATAGCTTGGATATGCTTGGATGCCCCACCAAGGATGTGTGCTATAGTTTTCCCACAGATGATCAGAGCTTGATGTTGTTGATGTCATGAACACTCACACCATATTTGAGTGTGATGGAGAAGCAAGGCTTCAGCTGAGGACGTTTTGTCACGTGGAAGTTTGAGACAAACCATAGAGGTGGTAGTAGTCGTAGTCGTCGTCGCCGTCGTCGTTTTTGATGGTTTTTGAGCGGCCTGGAGAGCAAGCTAAACACAACTCTGAGCATCGAACTGTCATCGACGAACGCAAACCGAAAGAGTTGCACCCCTAGTATGACCAAGGCCTCCATTTAGTTGCCGTTCATCCAGTCGCTACGGTTGCAAGATAAGAATGACAACTGCAACAAAGACCATTCATTTTGAGTGCTAGTGACGGACAAGAACATCGATTAAAATCCTTCACGCCCTAGGTCATTGGCCAAGAATCGACACAACACCTTCCTTTGCACTAGAATGGACAAATTATGTAAGTGCCTCGTTTGTTTTCAATCTAGAATACTGAGATCAGGACCAACCCCAAAGACAAGTTTAGTTGGCGAGGCATTTTTTGTGATATTTTGTGTTGAATGGTCGATATTTTGAGCATTATTTTGCACACTCGTCAGACTATGAAGTCACAAGTCTGGACTGCTTGTGGCACAGACATACGAACCATTATGAACCCACGTCATTTCGACGCAAAAGAGGCTAAACAAGAACGATGTGTTTCTTTGACATTAGTTTTATTTTTTTTTCCGGTACAAAACCAGTTTCTTTGGGGGTAAGCCGGGGGAGCGGGGGGCTTCATCGCCTGTGACCTCGTTGCGACGCTGAATCGCTGGTCCTCGTCTTTTTGGTGGTGCGGAGCAAGGAAGGGTTGGGTGGGTCGACCCGAAAGGAATCTTGACAGCCACCCTCATGATGTCTAGTAGCGTCCTTGTTACTACTAGTAAGGCACTTGTTACTAGAAGCGATGCACTTGTTCCTAGTAGCTTCTTTGCTCCTAGCCACCCTCATTCCATCTCATTCCCTAGCACCAGGCAGTTTTTGTCGTTCTTCCTTATCGAAGTGTCACCGCTGAACCCCCCCTCACGTCCTGAAGGTTTTCTCACGTGTTTTTGAGTCACTCCACTCGGACTCCATTCTCCAGTCTTGGCAGGCTTATGAGTTCATGTCGCGAGCTCATCGTCTTAGTGAAAGGCATCAGCATGGGATTGCGTTCCGTGCTCTCCACCTTGCTTCTTGGAGCATAGGCAGGCCAGCAGAGGGTCCCACCCAAACATAGCTTGATGAGGTCCTTGTCTTTCAGGGAGACACCAAAGGATTATTCATGATCAATCACTATAGGTCGATACTGCTTGGGTCCGGTTTGTTCAAGAAGCCTGGCCTGTACTGAAAGTGCCCTACTACCGCGAGTTTCCATGACTACGTAGATTTGCGCGTTACGTGACTGACATGTTGGATTCGGAGCCGGGCTTTGCAACGGTGTAAACAATTTGTCAGCAACATTTCAGTCACACAGAGACTCCTGAAGGGGAGAAAAAGGACCCTCAGATCAGTTGTAGACACACCTGGAAGGGAGAAGAGGACATTCAGATCATTTGTGTTGACAATGGGCAGTCTTACTTCATACATTTCAATACTTCTCTAATCACGAAAGGTAGCCCTTTAGGGGATACCTTGAGTTTGTCTTGCGAAGCAAGTGTTGGGACGTCCGGGTCTAATAATTGATCGCTCAATTCAGACCCCCCCCCTCCCTCTCCTCCTCTAAAATCAATTCTCTCCTGGAGAACGTCTTCGTGAGCCTCTCATGATTTCAGGATAGTTGAAACCCTCTTGAACATTTTAGAAAGAGTGAATATGAAATTCTAATCACGAAAGGTGTTCCCCGAGGGGATACATACCTAGAGTTTGTTTTGTGAAGCACGTCAATTCTCTCCTGGGGAGCGTCTTCGTGAGCCTCTTATGGTTTCAGGACAAATCCTATGATGTTCCGATTCAATGCTCACCGATGATCTGAGCCATGGGGCAAGTTTGTTTTCCTAAGAACCTTTTTGAACATTTCGAGAGCATATGTTTGAACATTTAGAGTGCATATGAACATATATTTACGAAAGGTCGCCTCCGAGGGGATAAATCACCATGTCGAACATTGCATTTTTGTTCCTGCCTCTCGCGTTCTCTTCTCTTCCCGCTGTCCTACCTTTCGTGTCTCCCTCCTCTCAAGTTCAAGTGTGATATGCTGAAAGTGTCCATCACAGAGTCTTCCCAATCGTAGTCCAATACTCTTTGGTCGGGTCGTTTGCATGCCATTCAATGACGCCATCAGCACTTTTTGTGATCAGACTTGAGGGAAGTCAGGCATTTTGAGGATAGCGTGTTTCCTCATTGGCGCCCACACTTGAAGTTTGCAGACACGTGGATGCCCAGATCGTCGTGTTGCGGGGTTCCACGGAGATGCCCAGACCATATCATCGGGCAGGCGTCGCTTGTTTGTTTGATTTCTTGTAGACTCCGAGCACAGATCTAACCAAATCTGGTGAAATATGAGAATAGTTTAACATTAATTCTAAATAATCAATTAAAATTGAGATTTGCTCTTTTTCAAGTTAAAGTCCAGATTTACACGTGCCTTTCTGCCATGGTGTTGCCTCAACTATAGAACCTTGGTACTTGCTTTGTTGCTTTAAGAAGTGTACGCGGCCGCGGCCCTCCTTCATACCATGAAAAACAACAAGGAGAGACCGGGTGGGTCAGATAGGCTCACACTTTGGTGACGCTGGCGCCAGCGTGTTTGTCGCCATTCCGAAAGGTTCTTGATGATGGTGGTGATCTATGTCTTTGTGACTTGACGCAGCTGCAAGTGTCTCTCTCAAGAGAGTTATTGATGTCGAAGTGTTCTAAAGGCCTAATGCGACTTGACTTTCTTACAATATCCTTTTCATCCCACTTCAGACAGAGTCTGGTGTAACCACCATTTGCCAAGAGATTGGAAGAGGCCTCCATAAAGCCAGTCAGACTAACTCCGCTGTGGAGGTGACCAGTTCTGCCAAGAACATGAAACCCATGAAGCTCACAGATTCGGTTCCATCCGCAAGCTTTGGCTTCGGAAGTACAAATCCAAATGGTATGGGCTCACCGAACTGTTGAGTGACAGAAACTGTTGAGGGTCCTCCTTGTTTCCTTCGTGTCCGGAAGCTATTTCCAAGTCATGTTCTATATCCTTGCAAAATAGCCTGATTCGATATTGAATCCACTTGCTTCCAGTGTTTTCTCGTTCACTCTACCTCTTTCCCGTCCATCGGACCCGAAACCCCCTCACGGCCACCCAGTGCGCAAGCGCGCGCGACCGGACCCTTTGTTGCCTTGCACCGAGGCGATCATCTTTACGCAGCTCTTCCGTGGCACGGACGAAGGTGCTGGTTGCTACGATGGCGTCCTGGAATCCATGAACTGCCTCATGCTGAATGTGGCACCACGGGCCGAATTCACCAGAAAAGCACCGAGACCGAGCTTCCAGTGTTTCCCACCTTTAGACGGCGCAGCGAGCTTGAGGTGTTTTTGGGGGGTCCATAGAGGGGTCGTCGGTGAGACAGGAGCTGTTGGTATTTAGGTGGTTGGCATGCAATTGGGAGATCTGTTGGGTTTGCAACGTTTTAGGCAGTTCTTCCTCAGCAGCTTTGCAGCCGATGTTTTGTTTGACGTTGCTTCCCTGCCAGATCACACGGGCCTGTGAGTCACTCGGAATAAATCCACCTCACAGAGAAAGCAAGAAACAAAACTCACTCCGACTCAGTCTCCAACTCAACAGAGCACTGATCTAAGGTATTTCCAGAGCAACAGGAGTTGATGCACAAGATGCCTGGTTTGCATTAACTGTTCAAAGATTGAGTGCCCAAACGCGGGGAAGGAACGCCAGGCCACCGGCTGTTAGCCAGGCCATTCTGCGCGTTTTCGGCGCACGCCAGGCCACCAGGAGACGCCACGATGGGTTAATGGAAACACCGAGATCGCTGCGTCCACCAAGGATGTTGGAGGTGGGTCCAATCACCTACCTCCTTGGGCTTTTCTATTTGTTGATCACCGGCTTGACTGTCCCCTGGCACCAAACTGGGGAAAGGGCATCAAATACAATTCAGAGTAAACTTGAACTTGCAGCCGACCACAGTGCAAATCAAAATCATGGTTTCTTGATCACGAAAGGTAGCCTGGTAAGGACTACCTTGAGTTTGCTTTGCGAAGCAAAGGGACTGGCTTGAGAGCCTGCTCGGGACTAGAGATTGGTAGATCAATGTCTAACACCCCCACCCCCCCCTTCCCCCCCCTCCCATGTGATGATTCATTGATAAATCAATTGTTTTGCACCCCTCCCTCCCCCTCCCCTCCACTCCCCTCCACTTCGCCAGCACTACTAGCATTCTGGACACACCATCACACCATAAGGTGACGTCATGCGCTTCGCAGTCGCAGCAGTACGACGCTGGCCATGAGGTTGCGCAATACAGCACGAACCCTGCACAATGAGGTTGCGCAATGCGGCTTCGATGCCGCGCGTGCGCACCCGGCAGCCTGACACAGCGCGTACTGCGTTCACAGACCATATTTCTCGACACCAACGAGCATCGATGCAAAACAGCCTCTTCGCAAAGCCCTGTGGAGAAACCTCTCGCTTCGCGGAGCACCATTCGACTCAGCCCACCATAGCGTGACGTCCATCCCTGGCAGCACCGGCCGCACCCCTCCAGGGGCCCCTCCAGCACTATCCTTACAAGGGGTTGGTCACTGCGGCTTCGACGCAACGCGTGCAGGCCTGTAATCCTGACACAGTGCGTGCAGCTGTGGGACCATAGCTGGTACACATGCGAGCGTTTACGCATTGCGACTTTTACGCGCGCCTGTTTTCACACACCTTTACACAAGCGAGCGTCGACGCAACGCAGCCTCTCTGCAGAGCCGTGTGGCGCAATCTGACCGCAACGGTGTTCCTCTTGAGCCTTCTTGTGCTCTCTGGCTTTGTTGGTTTCATCCATGATTGACCAAGGGGAACGTTCCTGAAACACCGGAGACAGTCCCTCACCAGACAAGGTCCCGACAGCTCTACCTTTCGTGTTTACCCGCTCAAGTGTTTCTTGCCCATGGATGATATATGATGATATATGGGAGTGAGTCAAAATTAAATGCATTGACTTCCGCAGGTTCCACCCGGGGCATCCTTGTTTCAAAGCATTTTGCATGTGTATTGTCTTCAACTTCAGCTCTTTGTGGTGAACATATACTTAGATACTGCTCCTTCCAGAACCCATACATGTTACATGTACATTGCAATTTAATTTTTGTTGTTGTTCACGCTATTCAGCTGCATTGCTAGATCGTTTGGCCGACAGATGCTCGTCGCTGCAGTGCGGCGCTGCTGGGCGGGACCTCTCTCTACTTTTTAAACCTCTTTCGAGTCTTTGGCCTCTTTCATTCCACCGACACAGAAGTGCTGTTGAACCTCGTTGGCTACATCAAATCCTTCTGGCCAGTTGTTCAGCGGGATTGGCAGCCGCCGGCAGTGTGCTTCAGCCAGAGCTTGCACACTGCACGCAGGTGGCATCGAGGAAAAATAAAGAGAAACAAGACCCTGATGAGCGAAAAAAACAAGCCCCTGCAGGGTGTCAAAGCAAAATTTGAGAGCCTACTTGGCCACTCTTGCAAGAATCAAAAACATATATATATATAACAAGGTATCGTTTCATATGCACGCTAGCCAAAATACCCCTACCAATCAGAAGAAGTGTAGCAAACATCAAGGAGATAGGAAATTGCCGGTGTGGCTACTTCCACGACAAAACCGTGTAGACACTAGGACAAGAAGCACCCCTCCAGCTCAGGCATAGGAACCTCAAGCTTCTGATCTTCATTGTGACCCGATTCTCCCGGATCCTCCGGATGATCTCCACTCCGAACCTCAGAACCTGGCGTTTGACCATACGGTCATTCTACACCACATATGGTCATCCCCACTACTATACCACGCTGCACCACTTCCACTCACGCGGCTGTTTGCCTTTCATCTTTTCAATGAGATCTAAGGCAGACTGCTGGATAACTCTCTTAGTTCTTGTGAAGGTTGTTTATTGAGCCCCAGAACTGCTCCTTCTTGATAGGGCTTGTGGCCGCCTTTGTGGCTTTGGACGGAACTCTTTGTGCTCTTCGTGTCAGTGGGTCAAAGTGCATTACAACATGGTCAACACCGCGCAACAGACAAACAACATAAACACAGGAAATAAAGCGCTCCCCACTTGGTTTCAACAATTTAGACAATTGATGTTTTTTGCCAAAAATCAAATTGAAGCAAGGCCATCCAACATTTGCTTGCCAACTAATAACAACGGAATATTCCGCAGAAATCATCATTCTGAACGTTCAAGTTCTCATAATTTGGTCTTATTTTGTGGCTTTCAGACCTTGGTTGGAAAGAAGATGTAACCTAGACTTTTCCGCGTTTATCCATCGCTCAGCAAGTGACACCTAAGTGGGTCTTTGAACCTGCAACTCCGGACTGAATGTTCAGCAGAGCGCAGTGGACAGCGGTCCTGCGCAGCGCTGTCGATTGGGCGCACTCGGTGCGGCTGCAGTCATCATGTTATGATTTCGTCCAAACCGATGATGTTGAACACAGCAGCTGTGTGCTGCTTGCTGCTTGGGAGCGTTGCCCTTTGCGCATCCAGCTTGCTTCGTTATTTCGGCGCAATCGCTGATCTCGAGTCTGGACAAGGTCGAAGCAGAGATGTAGAAGATCGGGTGAGATGCTTTCGTTGGGACAACCCCGCCACTTTTCCATGACTTTGCAACCCTCCGCCTCAGGTTGCTTTTTTTCCCAAACAGTGTATAGACACACTAGGGATTCTTACGGCAGTAGTTAAGCACCGGTGTCTAATGAGGTGTTGCACCGACGTGTGCGGCTAATTCGCTGCTGTTTACAGTACACGCCCCTTAAAATCCTCCAAGTGCATTTCGACTGCACAGGCTCGCAGAATCTGGGTGTCCGCAGCGGGCGCTTGTCGCGACCGCGCTCTCGTTGTGGCGCCGCTCATTTTCGGACATGGTGGTCACTGTTCATGGCAGGCGCAAGGGAAACCTTGTGCTTTGGTGGTCCAAATCACTCTAACCTCACTCTCACACTCACTCTCTCACTCTTTAACTCACACTCACACTCACTCTCACTCACACTCACTCTCACTTACACGCGCACTCACACTCACTGTCACTCACCCACTCACTCTCACTCTCACTCTCACTCACAATCGCACTCACTCACTCACTCACTCACTCACTCACTCACCACCGCCACCATCACCACGATCTCCACCTTCATCACCGCCTGGACCCCAACGCCTCTAGATCTCTAGACTTTCTGCTACTACACCTCTAGACCTCACACGCACTGTTTGTTTTTTTTGCCAGGATACATATTTAATTAATGTTTTGTTTTTTGCTGGTGACGCCAGTGGACCTTATTGAACAAGTCTAACGTAGTCTGAATAAATTTGCTGCTGTTTTCGTTTGCAGAGTCATCAGTTGCACCTTCTTCTGAGGTGATGAACATGTTGATCGGTGTGCTTGTGGAGGTTGTTTCAGTGACTGCGCAAGTGGACAAGGAGGAAACGGCCATGAAGGCTACCTGCGGGCTGCAAAGATGATTTGTGACATCAGACCTCTCGATTGAAGTTGGTTTTTTTCAAAAGAAGCGTGCGTCTCTGGTTTTGGGAGATGTAGTGTTCAAATTGAGACCTTACTGTGTTTTCCAAGAAAAATTGATGTTTGCTTTGATGTTGGAAGACCCAAAAATGTGCCTGCGTCCCACCTTCAGGCTCACTAATAGTGACACTTATCAATGCACAGGTATACTACACTAAACATTTATCACATACCCAAAAAACATAGAACGATATAAATACAACAAAACAATGTTGCAACAAATTCGCACATAGGTGCGCCCCAGGGTTAAACTTCCAATGGGACTCGCAGCCGTAGAGCGAACGGGTTTTCATTCGCATGATATGTGTGTTCCTTCATGTTGAACCAACTCATGGAAAACGAGTACCTTGTTATTTAATTAGGGAAAATATAAGTGTTGTTTGGGGCAAAAAGTTTGGTTGGCCCGCAACAATCGTTTATTTTATTTTGATAGAACCACCTAGAACTTAATGTGTCGGCCTTCGAAAAAATTGCTCTTCCAGGCGGTGAAAGAGAAGATTGAGGAGCGATTTGGTGCTGCTTTGAAAGAGAGGTTAAAATGGACCAACATCTGAACAGATGTGATCCCTCATATTCGACAATTGTTTTACGAGAGTCAGAGATGCGGACGCCCCATCTGAAGAGGTGTCAGGGAATGGTGTGCACTTCTACTTACAACCAGGTGGCCTAATTATGTCAACTAATATAGTTTTAGTTCCTCTCAAGGACAGCCCAGCAACTAGGATTGTCTGACCCGACAGTTCCCGGCATCGACCAGTCGAGCAGGAGCTGATTCCAGCAGATTCCAGGCAGACCGGAATCTCACGAGAACTTTTCATGAAAGTCATTATGGAGTCTTGGCACCAACGCAGGTGCCGTGTTTACGCCGATTTCTTGGATTTTTCTGGTGAAACTATGTGTTTCAATATGGTTCACATAGCCAAAACTTTGAATAACGTCGAATAGAATCACAGTGCCGTGTAACTATATAAACAACTGGCACAAGGTGATGTGCGTTTCAGCGTAGTTTGAGGTTGCAAGGTTGTTACCTAAATTTGCTCCTTCACGTTTTCTTTTTTCTGGGGTTTCCTGTAGGGCCATGGAAGGATTTGTGTCACAAACCAATAAGTTAATAGGATCCACCGGAAATATGTCCCAACCTTCATGCCACGTCAGGCCAGGCCCCGGTCCTCCGGTTGTCGGTCTCCGCAAAGCCGAAACGGTATGCAGAACCCAAAGCTCTGAGAACACCTCAGTGCTCCAAGGACCAGGGCCTTGTCCAGACCTTGTCCAACATCGATGTCGACGTCATGTCTGTAGCCTCTTGGGAGTTAAGAGGAAGAGAGTCAAACACCCGAGACAGTCTGGCTCACAACCCAGGCGGGTTACGCCACATAATGTTGTGAAAATTGCATGAACAGTGGGTTTCTTCCACTTAAGGGCTTTATATAGTCACTTTTTTTCTTGGAAGAGTGGACCCAAAGTCAGCGGATTGGGAAATACGGTCTCACTGGAGCTCCACAAACCATTCACTTGCGTTTCCTCCTTGCAATATTTTAAGTTGGATGGATGTGCAAGTTTTCCAAGATTTTCTCGAGTTGCTTAGACAAGTGCCTTCATTAATGATTTCTCAGATGCGGTTTCCAAGTTGTCTTACAGCGACGTTTGTTGCTGCTGATGGGGGTCTAAAGTGAAAGGTGCAAAGAGATCCGGCAAACGTTGCACTCTTCGAGCTTTGATTATCCACTTTAACTCATGTATTTTCCAAGTAGAGTTGGCCGACGCATATGTCATCCGGTGTGCCTATTAAGCTGCGTTATTTCTTGTTTGTCAGATTTCCAGGTGGAGTACCCTGAGATCATGTACCATTCTCGGAATGCCTTGTCCGTGCCCGAGTTGGTGGATGTCACTTGGCCATGGCGCGCCCGTTCTTCTTTCCGTTTCTCTGGGGTGCACAATGAAGGTGGATGCAAAATGGTGTGACCATTCAGGCGTACATCAGTTGGTTTGACAGGCATCTGCATGGTAGTGACATAGTTTTGGTGTGAATGTCCTCAAGAACAGGCCCCAAAGGCATTGTCGACATCTCCGTCTGCAGATTCCATTGGTGATGTTGTTTGGACCACTGGCTTTTGCTTGGACCACCTCCATCCCTTCTCTCGACACCTCAGGCGATCCTGCAGTTCCGGAGAACCACCTCGGTAAGCATGATGGCGCCTGGCTTCCACGAAGATGGCGCCATGCGTTTTGCGTTTCGTTTTCTTTCTTTTTTCGCGGCGCTCCTGTGCGGCGGGGTTTGGGTTCAGCAGAGAAGCGGATCGCAGTGACCTAGTTACCGTACATGGATCACCTGCAAATGTTTTTCTCGTTCCCCACCTGTCAGGTGAGGGTTGTTAGACTTTATGTCAGCTGCCATCCTCGTCCTCCTCCTCCGCCTCCTACGCCTCCTTCTCCTCTCCGCCTCCTCCTCCGGACCTCAACCGCCAGCTCCGGATGGCAGTGTTCCCCGCCGGACCTCATTCGCCAACCGCGAGTCAGAAGATAGGCAAGACAGATAGAATGCCAGAATGAATCAGCAAGAACGTCAGAAGATATGCCAGAAAGCATGCCAGAAGAGATGCCAGAAAGAATGTCAGAAGATATGCCAGAAAAGTTGCCAAAAGAATGTCAGAAGATATGCCAGAAAGAATGTCAGATGAAAGAGTGCCGAAATAATGTTTCGATACATGACAGGAAAGTGTCATGGTGGGGATCACCCGAAGTAAACTAATTGGACGTTTATTGGGGAAATCGGTTTCTCTACTCAACAAGAACAGGGTGTTGACCAGAGAGAGTCCCTGACCGCGCGTGGAACAGGTGAAAAGTTCAGTTGTCCGCTTAACTATGTTTAACTATCTTTCTTTTCCTCCTGCATCCACTAAGCTCGGCGAATGGACCGAGTTTGGAGAGTGAACTACTGGTGTTGACCGAACATAGGCACGACTAAGGGGATTTGCCTGGAATTACGTGTATTGTTCATGCGCATGAAGGGTGGCTTCAGGGAGAATGTATGTAAATACATGTAAAAAATATCTCATGGAGCATTCGGGGCATGAGGGACATCATATATGACCCATCGCCGATTTGATCGATGGGCTGGTGTTCAAGCAGTTTGTTTTGACCTGCTACTAGAGTGACTGGACGGATCCTTCTGGGCGGTTGTGACACAATGCCTGCAAAGAAATTGCCAGATTGTACGTAGTCCATGGTTGACAGCATTGGCGCAAGTATGTGATGTTAATCCAGGACCAGTTGGGTGCAACATGACCAGATAGTTTTTTGCAAGTAAGATCTTTTTTGGCGGTGATTTGGTGCACCTGATAGTGCAAAGCTTTTTTTGTTGAGGCGCCCTGCGCTACTTGTGTTCCTTTGGTTGTGAATTGTGTTGCCTGTGCGGTCTTATGCCCTTCATTTGCACGACAGGCCAACTTGTTGTTGAGTCCTATAGGTCCTAAGTCCTATGTCTTTTGGACGACTTGGAGTTCAAGTGATGCTTCGGATTGAGATGCTTCAGGCGTTGTGTAATAGGGCCATTTGTTCGATACAGGCATCAAACTCATTATCCTCAACAATCGTAGCAGTTCCGCAAGCTGGCCCAAGTACAGCAGATACAAACGAATCGTTTGTTGTGACCTCATGTTTCCCTACCTTGGTCGCACCAGCGGATGCTGCGTCCATCAACCGTTATCAACCGCAACGGTTGCTGTGTGGTAGGTCCTACCGGCACGTCTCCGCGGCTCGCTTCATCCATGCGAAAGGTTCCCCCGTCACTTGCTGACTTCTCTACTCTGCATGTATCATACGGTAAGGGCTATGCAAAACTTTGTGCGCGATTTGGTGCCATGAATTTTCTCGTCGTTGCGCTATACACCCGTTGTTCAGCTGACCTGTTTTTAAAGCCTCACTACAGCACCGGGACACGGCGACGATGGACTGTGTGCAGTACCGACCTCCCGCACGAGTGGCGCCGGTGTCTCCGTCACCAAGGACATCGCGCAACTGCGACGTTTCATGGTGAATGAACTCGAGGACTTGAGGGGCCTCATCAAGTCCAACCAGATGTGAAGGACTGGTGATCCAGAAAACGACAAGACAGCGATTGGCGAGTTGATTCAGTGGGTTGTAATCGTGGATGGTCGAAGGTGTTTTAGGTGTTTTGTTTCTCTCATGCTTGTTGGCGTTCCTAACACGTTTGTTTGTTTGTTTTTTGTGTTGCGGTTCTCAGTCACTTTGCTTAGTCTCTAAAACTTGTTGTTAACAACTATTCACAAACAATGTTTTTGTGATTAACAACTGTCCAATCATGAATGGATGCATGAACCTCATGGAAGTGAATTTGTGTTTGAGGTGGTTGTACTTTCCAGATCATCATTTGCGGGTTTTGTGGTGTCGCTTGGATAGCCCTATAGTACGCACATTTATTTTGGAAGAAATAACTTGTGCCAATCTTCTATTTGAAGGGTATGAAAATTTGCCGCCGAGAGGGTTTCAAATAGAAGAGGGTCAGGTGGAAAAGAAGTCCGGCGCACAACGTTGGTGAAAACCGAGAGAGGCCACTTCAAAGGCAAAAAAGAGGAAGAGAAGGGAAGGGAAAGGAGAAAGGGTGGGGAAAGGGGGAAGGAGGAAGGCAGGGGGGAAAGAGGCAGAAGGGAAGGGAGAATCTGAGAAGGGGGAAGGAGGAAGGAGGTAAAGGAAAGGAAGGTAAAGGTAAAGAGAAGGAAGGAAAGGTGGAAAGGGAAGGGGCAGAGGAAGGAGGTAGGAAGGCCAAACAGAAGGCAGAAGAGAAACTACTTGGTTTACCTAGCGGGTGTATTTATGTTGCGTTTCTGTTCTTCTCCGAGGGAGAGAGAGAGAGAGAGAGAGCGAGAAAGAGTGAGAGAGCAAGGGAAAGAGAGCGGGCGGTTCATGCGTATTTTGTGCCAAAAAAAATATTTTCTTCTATTTGAAGACCTGTCGGTGAGCACGTTTATCAACCCGTTATCTTGACATATTTCTTCTATTTGTCGCGGAACCCTGCTACGGGAGGAATATGCAGCCTTCTATTTGAAAATTTGTTTTTATATTTTCTATAATAGTTTCCCGTACTATAAGCCACCTTAATTCTGGTTATTTCCATTGTCTAATTGTTCAAGAGAGTCCTGAAATTTCTATATTCCCAGCAAGGTTTTCTTCAAATACTCCCCATTTACTTCATGATCCAATTAAACAAGTCCATAAATAACTCCATGTTTATTGGTGGACGTGTCATATGAATTGTTTGCCTAAACAAAACTTTGGTGTGGGCAAGGTTGCACTTGTTTATGGGAGATAGGAGTTGCGTAAACTCCGTAAACCAAACCCAAATTTCAGCACGGAGTCATTTTTATATCGGTTTCATACACCATTGAAATGCAGGGTGTTTCTCACGCTGCTTGGACATCGACAGAACAAAACATGTACAGACCACGACCAAATAAATTAGGGTTTTGGTGTCGAAATCTGCATAAGTGCCGCGTAAGTTCTGCGTAAGCCTGTTTTGTTTTTGAAGACCGTGGCCCACAATGCCTCCCAATCAACTGTTTTCTGAACTTCGATGACGCGAATTGCAACTCATTGTTCCAAACCATTAACGAACACTTTGCTGCTCACTGCCCAGCTGCCGCGCATGTATCAGATCTGTTGGAGTCAGCGTTTGGCACGCGCCGTTCCTTTCTGCCAGACACTTTTACTTGAACCGCGGTGTGTGCCCTTATTAAGAAACAGAGCGTGCATAAGCCGTGGCTGTGGTGCTAAAATTCCTTGGCCCAAGTGTTGCGTAAGCCCATCAATGTAAGAACTGCGCGCGTAAGCCGCCATTCTGGTAGTCAGGGGCACGAAGGCAGGGGTGTAAGAAACACCTACGACATTTAGGCAGCTGCCAAAAGTTTGAACACCTTCATTCAAACTATGCAGCTATGTCATCATGGCAGTTCGTGGCGCCCCCTCAGTCAGGCACTCCGCTGTTTTCTTCTTTGACGCCAAATTCTACCATCGGGCGTCCAAGGGTCCCGCAAACCCTGTCCCGGCCGTTGGAGGAGCGTCTCTTTCATCCTTCTCGAAAGCAATTGAAGATGTTGGAGCGTTGATGTATCGACACCAAATCTGCTTGTGTTGTTTTTTTGCTTTGACTGAAAATTGCTCCACCGGGCAAAAAAAATGTTTTGCGGGGTCTAGGTATATATTATTTTTGATGTGAAGATATTGTTCGATATGTTTTTGCACGGTTTCCTCCATGTTGTTTCATGTTCCCAACTGCGAGCTTGTTTTGATCAGAGCTAAGAGAGGTCTATCACTCACATTCACTCAGTATATATTATAGTAGGTAACCACATCCATACTGCTGTGATACAGCTGTGTATCTACGCATGAGTCTGGAGGTCCCTGTGTAGAAGCTTTCATTGTGTCCGACACACATTTTTCATATGTGGGAAAGAAGACCTTGCTTGGCAGTTGCTGGGTAAGCACGGGCAGTCGGGTTGAGCCAATATTACGTGTTTCATGCTTCATGAATCAATTAACATCCAATGAACATATCCACCGTTTTTTCCACCGGTGTTTGTGCTACATTTCTTCGCATGTCGGTAGGATAACATATGATAACATTTTGTGGATCAATTTACAAGGTCAACTTTCGAAAGTGTTCACTTTGTCTTTGTGATTTTGAATCGACGTCTTCTCCAGTGGACATAGCTTTTGAGATTTTTGCTAGGTTTTTGCCGAGTTGGTGGACGGGATGCTCAGCCTCCCAGAGAGGTGGATAGGAACAGGTCAATTTTTAAGGCTGAACTGACTGATTTGACGCGGGATGGCAAGAGAAGCGTGGTCATGCAGCCGATTAGGTCACGCAGCCGATTCATTCCAAACATATGTTCAGTTTTGGCCCCTTGATGCATATAGTCATATAGTATACAGCCCCCGAAAAAATAACAGCACCAAAGTTGGCATTCTGGTTCGACAAAGCCACACACACAAACCACATATGAGACCGCACAAAGCTCCGCTCCCTTCTCGACATTCTTCCTGGCACAAAGAATAAGGCATATATGACATAGGCATATGACTCCCCTTGCTCCATCACATGTTGTTCAACAGATCCAACTATATTGTTTATCGCTCTGGTCCGGCTGTGTTTCTTTAAGAGTACATTAACGAGGGTCGCATGTGGAGGGGACAAAAGCTGCCCCTGTCGCCAATCATCGGTATGATGGTCCTCGCAGCCAGGGGCGAAAGGTCCAGCTTTCGAAATGCGAGTTTCCGAAGCAGCGATCATGGGTCCATCGCGTCCACCGACCCAGGTGAAACACTCCCGACTTTTAGATCCCGTTTCGACCAAAGAGACACCCGTTCGCGCCAGCACCGCTTTCGCAGTTATATCCCGAAAAAAGACGTGCTCAGCACCCGTTGGTCCTGGTAGTTTCTGAGGGTCGGCTCTTTCAGCGCGGAACGTGTGGATCCACTCTGTTCGCAATGGAACAGTGAGCTTCAGTGTGATCATTAGAGAGCAACTATAGAGCTATCCTTGATGCATTGAATTATATATTGAATTATGACGACTGTTCCACTTTCAACATCATGAGAGCAGGCGTTGCGTTGAGCCGCATGAAGAGGAGCTGTCGATGTGCGAAACGAATCGATTGCTGTACCTTTGCGGCTCGGATTGCTTGCGGCGACCATCGCTCGCCGGAAGTAGGGCGGACCATCGTAGGACGGTGCAAGATGTGGTGCTAACAACTATATTCATAATATATAATAACATATAATAGCTATATGTTGATATATTACAATATATAATAGCTATTGGTTGAAAAAAAACATCAAATGTGCCACATATAGATTATAATCAAGCTCACAGAGGTAGGTGAAGCCTCAAGTTAATTCAGCTGAATCCAGCTCCTTCCCCATTCCAAGAGGACAGACTCGGGATCCCATCCCCGGTGCCCGAGTGGTTCCATCAATTCACCCCAAGCTTCACAAGCCATTTGTGGAAACAATAGACGTTTCGTGTAAAACATTGACTTCGACCGTTGGGAATTCACCAGCTTTGCTCATGGCGAAGCCTGACCTTTGCCGGAGCCTGAGATCTGATTGTCTTCTGACAGTGGCCACTGGAGCTTTTGACGAGCTGCCCCATGGTGTCCCAGGAGCCCCTAATAGCTTCTGCTCCTAGTAGTAAGGCCAGGAGCCCCTAGTAGCGATGCCCTTGCTCCTAGTAGCTTCTTATTTGTTCATCCTGTTATTTTAATGGTAATGACATGTGTATAAATTTTTGATGTTGTGTTTTTTCTTGCCATCGTTTGTGTTACTCGATATGTCCAGTATACCGCTATATATATAAGATTATATAAGTATATATATATATATCATATGCACTTCGTAAATACAACATATGTTCAGGTGTCAGATATGCTTTGTCAGTCTTTGTACTTGCCTTTGACAGGTGCAAGGATCCTCCAAGATCCAGCATGTTTAAATTTTATACACCAAGCCACCAAGCTTTGCTTCCAGGGCCGGGATGCCGTTCCAAGAGATATTAAATCCAGGCGCATCTTCCAAGAAAACACCGTTTTTCTGCTTTAAACACGAGTCCGGCTCGACCAGCTCGAGCAGTTTGTTTCATTTCGGCCGAGGCCATGGGCCGCGTCCTCTCCTGCTGCGCGTCAGAAGCGCCCAAACCAGCAGAGCAGATCCCTTCAGGTGGGGAGCGGAGGTGAACCCCACCAACGGCCTCCGCAGGAGCGTGTTCTGTGTTACCGTACCTGTCCAGCATGACATGAGCCCAGTACGGTTACTGCATAGGGGTATAGACGTAGATGTACTTGGCATTTTGAAAACGGCATTTGCAACCGCATTTTGACATCAACTGAAGCTGCTGGGGGGGAAAGACTATGCTTGCTTAAGGCTCCGAATGCTTGGCTGAGTAGAGTAAAAGGGAGGTTGAACATGTTGCGAGATACCTTGGGCTCTCGGATGTTATTTGTATGTATGGTTTATCTGAAGCTTAAAAACTCTCCAAAGTGGCTATAGATTCATCAAAACATCACTTCCAGAACTCCAACGGGTTTTGGGGAGCAAACACACTGTGTTCTCAAACTACAGCCTGCGAGCCTTTGAAAAGGGCGACATCCGTATTTACCGCGTGCATCAGTGGAGTCTTTTTGGAGTGAGCTTCCGTTCAGATGTTCTGGGTCACTCGTAGACGGCTGTGAAGCGTGCTGTGTCTTGTAGACGGCTGGGCGCCCGAAGCAACTTGATCCGGAGAAATCGGCCGCCCGCAGTATGTCCATATCAATATCGATGCTGGTTTACGTGTCCTGTAGTCAGTTGTACATGTGTTTACCAGTCTGTGGATTTACTCCGACTCGTGGTCTCCACGTTTCACAGCCACGTCCTCCAGTACATCAGGGAAGGGCCCGGAAATTGCGGAGGCCGGTGTGCGCCCAGCGGTGCCATCGTGTCCACAGTGGGTCTCCAACGCATTTAACACCAATGGAAGAAACGTGTCTACGAACAATTAGTCCATCTATATACTGTATAAATTACATAACCCATCCCAATGGCATTATCCTGATTGCCTGCAATTACCTACGATTGCCCCAGCCTGGACTCTTGATTAAGTAAACGGTTTGGATTGGGTTGTAAAATCATGTATAAACCTTTGATTTGGGGTTATTCATCAGTCTACATTATATATTCCATCTTCTATATATATATACATATACCATGTTTGGCCGGGACGAATGCTTCACCCCATCGCCGGGGCTATCCCCCACTTCCTTCATGGAGGCTCCAAGCCGCGCCGGGCCTCCATCAAAGAAGCCTCGAGAGGCGCCGGACCCGCATGGCATGGCTTGGGGAGAGAGCGAAGTTCCAACATGTTGGATCCAAAACCAACAACGATTGAGAGGTGCTGTGTGGCTGTTGTTGTTCTACAAATGGGACGAGACATAATGTATAAGAGGCGACTTAAGAGGTAGCAGCTACCACCTGGGTGATCGATTTTGGTCAATGCAAGATCCTTCAGGAATCTGTGTTTGAGCACAGCACACATAGGATTTATTGTTGATTCATTGAACCTCCCTGGCTGCTGATCCCATTTATTTTGGCAGGTGAGAAGAAGGAAGAAAAGGCTGGGAAGTTGCATCGAATGAACTGCATGGGATGGTTGCAGGAGCTGTTGTAAAACACTTAGAGTGAATCTAGTGACCCCTTCATTCATCCAATGTAGATTGCAAAGAATCAGTGCTGTATTCTCACTGGGCACAGGACGAACATTTGCATGGTGGCAAGATATCTTTTTCCTCTGCGGAAATCGCCGGAAGAAACAAAGAGAAGACAGCGAATGGCACGCGGTGTCTTCCCCTCACATCGAGCGACTAGGACGATGGCGAATCTGCAACGATGGCTACTGTTCCTATGTTACCCTCCATGACGTCTAGGACGTGAACTCCAGAGAAGTACAGACCTCATCCAAACTGAAACCTGCTTCAATTTGTATATATATATATATGCTAGACAGTGCGGAATATGCTGGATCGCTCCACTCGTGCGTAATAACTTTGTGTTTTCAGGACCTCGATACCAGGTCTCTGCCTGGGTCGGACCAGGCTTCCGCGACCGCTCGCAGCGACAAGACGCGCAGTGGTCGGTCCAGCGTAAGTCAAAAGGCGCGGGACCTCGGTCCGTCGGTGGGAAGCGATTGAATGAGATTCCTATTGTCCTTCTATCAAGTTAAATCATGTAAAATCATGTTAAATCTATGTCCTCCCCTATACCAGCAGACGAGTGACCCGTAAAAAACAGTCTCAAGAGGAGAATCAATGAGAATCATCTCCAGTACCAGTGGTCCATGATTATTGGAAGGATGATTTAAGCAGCTGGGAGTTACATGGAGTTACCCTCTCTCCAAAAGCACTGTAAAAACCAAAACCCATAGATGAGGGTTTCCACAGCACTGTAAATGTTTTTTACTTTTTTTTTCAGTGAGTGTTATGATCGTTCGAGGACATCGATTTAGGAGCTCGTTCGTGCTGGGTCCATGCGTTTTTGGGTCTTGTTGGAAATGGTTGGAAGGGTTGGAGACGTTTCATCAATCGAGTGAAACCCTCAAATGCTACCAGCCGAAGTGTTTTTGAATACTTGATACAAGAGAAACTTTGGATTTTGGAGGGTTTCACCAAGATTCTCGGATTTTTGCATAAATTTTAAGTCAATACAGGACACACACACACACACACACACGCACACACACACACACACATGTGGACTTACTGATTGCTACCATGTATATATATTATGTATATATATATATGTACGTCACCAGCCTGTTTCTTGACAAAGATCATGTCTTGCGGGCTGGGTATGAAGTTCATAGCTCTTCTCTTCACTACGTGGGTAGGTCTTCAAGTCCTTGTCTCGCACAAGAAGATAGATATCAGCGTATGATTCCAACAAACTGGGCTAGGTCGTGCTGGAGTGGTTTCTTGATTGTTTTGATCTTCCAATTTAGGCATCTAGCAGCTAACTCATCTAGCATCTAGGCATCGGTGCTCAGTCCGCTCGGGTTCTCCCCGCGCTCGCCGCCTAGCGCGCCTAGGCGGGGAGCCCTGCCGTCTCCACTGCCACGGGACGATCCACGAAATCGGTGCGGATCCGAACCGAAGCGAGTGACGCTGATCGGGCCATTGTTGTTTGGGTGACGGCTGATTCTGCTTCGTATTTATGCTGGTGTGCATGGTATATGGGAGGGTCATTGACAAATTGGTATGCTGATGTTGTTGAACAAGTAACACATTGAGATGACAATGAAAGCCATGACCCAGCAATAACGCCCATGATTTGGGGTCTCGTCAAGGTCTTAGGAGAGCAGCAAGCCGTTTGAAGCATTCCAAGGTAATCAATAACGATTTTCCTGACAGTGATTGGGTTATTCCACGGAAGGCTGTTTGTCATGATGAATTTGGCTACAAAACCAAGCCAGCCACACACTCTTGGGGACTTAGGGATGTGTTTCTCCAGGGGCCTGTGTCCTGTTCAATGTTTTGGAGCACCTGTTCCGCCAAACCATCACACACCCCAGAAAGTTTGATGAAGTCCACTTCAGGTATGCATTGTCAAGGTGACAAGAGTCAGACCAGCCCTATGATGGTGACTTCCCTCACCCTATGATGTTTTCGGGGTATCTCCGTTTGTGTCCTGACTCCATCAATGAATGCCTGGGTGCCTTTGTAGCAGAACATGGGCAAGGAGTCGAAGAACACCTTGGAGGCTCGCGAAGGCGGCTTGGGCGGCTGCGCTTACCGACGCGGGCGGGGCGCGGCGCGGCGCAGGAAGCGTTGTGCGCACACGTCGTGCGAGAGGAGTGTCATTAAAAGCAGGGAAGAGGTGATATTGGTGATATGACTCACGTTTCTTTTTTTTAATGTGCTGCTGCTGTATCATGCTGTATCTGTTCTTTGTGAGCTATGGGGCCCAACTCAGGCATGCTTTGTTTACTACCCCTCCAGTGTTTACTAATGGCGCGTTGCCGTGCTTTCGGCCCACTCCGTTTAGCATGTTGGCAGTCCGGACACGTGAATTCAGTCCCCAAATAGAGTGGCAAGGTGTCCAATCCATTTTCAGTGGGGATTAATATTAACGAACTTCTATCTAGTTGGGGATCTACTGTACATTTGATGTTTCCATGCTTTGTTTTAACTCACCCTCCTTGTTGGTCTTCCATAGGCAGGTATGCGCCATCCCACGTCCGGACTTCCTCTTTCAGGCGACACATCAAAAGGTGTCCGGCGACCTCAGACGGCTCGGTTTCTTGTTCGCCCGTTAGAGTACTTTCAAAATGACTCGTTCTTGTTTTTAATCCCTGTGTACCAAGGGATTAGACCGCTCAGAACAAGTTTCTGCATGCTCCAAAAAAAATGATGCTAAATGGGGATTGTAAAGGTTCAACTTTCGTGAATGAGGGGCACTGCACTTTTCCTGTGAACACGTGGGCGCTGCCCGTTTCACAAGTAGGCGTTGGTTCGGTCCTGTATTTGAATGCATCAAGTCGAACCACACTGTGTACCCCCAAAAATTGTACCGAATCCTACTGTATAATACTGTAATATACGGTTGTGTTCGCTGAGAACTGTGGTTCTTCAGCGTTCGCCATGGCATGCCATCTTCGAAGCTCGCTTCGGAGTTGCGTGTCATGGCATTCGCATGTTGCGTGTCTGTGTGTTCCAGATTGCTTGAAGCTGAAGTAACGAACAAAGGAACTGTAGTCGCCATGCTGCAGTGGCATCTCTATCTATCGCCGCAGTTTGCATCTCAAAGTATAGCTCTCTCATTTGACGCAGTTTGTTTGACTCATACAGTGAACACCATGTTCATTCTGACGCGCCTTGGACTGATGGTTTTTGCTTGGTAACGATGGAGGTCTTGAACAAGTATGAAAAAGTGACCTTTTTTGGCACTCGTAGCAGTACCTAAGCCGTCCATTACAGCCTCATTGGTCCGCCCAAAATCGGTGCCGAACATCGGTCGGTCCGACTGGTCCGAACCGACCCCGACCGACCGGCTGGCCCGGGCCGATTCCCAGAGGTGGGACGTGTTTCATGTTGACCGCATGTGGACCATGTTGACCTTATGGGATGAAGTGAGCTGAACGTCATTTTTCTCACTTAGCACCCAAGTCCGTGAGAGACTTGAAGATGAGACGGCTATTTAGATGCAGATGTAAAAACGAGAGGCGGGAGATTTGCTGCCGGTACTTTGGTGAACCGCCAGTCCGCGGATAGATCCTTTCCTGTGTATGGTATTTTATGCTATTGTTTCTTTCGTCAGCTTCAAAACCCTGTCTTTCTTTTGGATCCATTCGCCCATGGTGAAGCTGTTTGAGGCGATTTTTCTTCATGTGCGTGGGCTTTGGACAAGCCTCGCGGCTCACTGTCTCTTGGCGATGTGTATGCTTTGTGTTTTATATTGTACATTAACTATTTATCTTCTAAATATATGTTTGTGTCGAATGTCTCAATCAAACACACACCCAGGAACTTGGCGATCTCGGTGGACCTGAAGTGTTGCATTCTAAGTAAGCACACGCTACACAAAAATTGAGTTTGTGGTCAGGCACCTCTCTACCTCTCAATCAATTCCAAACTATATAAATATTGGATTTAGTATTGGCATGTTCATCCTCCAATTTCTTAGTATATAAGTTTCGCCTCTGAGAGTATACGCTTCACGCCGATTCGCCCGGACCGACGGTCCGTTGTCTGGCAGCCAGGTGAGCCAGGAGAAGTTGGGTATGGACCTCATGCGGACAGAGTCTTGTCACCGTTTTCAGCTCGAGATCGCCATCCGACGATCGCAGCGCTAAGCGTTGAGCCGGCAGGAAAAGCCGAATTCATCCCATGTTCCGGGAGACTGAACGAGGGGGACGAGTTCGAGGTTGTTTGGCCATGGCATTGGCAATTGAGTAGTTATATAGTTCGAAAAATAATTCATTCCCATGGTGGCCGGCATTTGTTTTGTCTATATGATTCTTTTGGGGGAGCAACTGAAGCTTTTCCAGCTGTCTCGGGGTCCCACACATCGGGTGCGTTGCCTCTTTCAGCAGTGGCATGCTGTGGCATATGAAAAGGCAGAACATTTTCAGTTGGAAGATCCAGGTTTGCTGCTGACATGAATTCCTGGCACATGCCATATCATGTACATAAACTCTTGATCAATAAAAACCTCCTATGTGAAGACGGGTTGTTTATTGGTTCTTCGAGTCTACAAGATCCATGCCCTTTTCAGTCTGCGATCTTCCAGATGCGAAGCCGATTCGCTTAAGGGCAACGGACTTGCCTGGGATGATGACCAGTCACGTTTGGCTCGGATTGAGGCTGGCGAAGGGTTGGACATTCAGACAGGTTTTAGGTGGCAGATGGAAGAGCTTCGTGAAGCGGGTCACATCTCACACCATGAGCTTTAATCATCGAATAATTTGGTATTTATCAGCTGCAAAGATTGAGCATCATGTAGCAGGCTAACTACAAAGAGATGCTTCTGATGATGCGGACTGAAACTCTATAGAGGCCTGATTATGAACTACTGTAATATTGGGACCTAAACGACTATAACCTCAAATCTTCAATAGTTTGCCGAACTGGAAGTGTTTACGGGGTAAAGAAGGAACTAGGGTGGCTCACTTCTGCTGGGCATCAATCCCTGAGTGCCACTCAGATGTGGAAGGCCCGAAACAAAACTGATGTCCAAAGTGAAGGACGACATCTCAATCTCATTGTTTGCACAGAACAGCACTCCTCCCCCGGCACCATATGACATCTTCTTCAACAAATAGCAAATCTACGTTGTGTGCTTTGTTTGTTCCTTCGTGGTTAAGAGCACCTGGGCAGGAGATTAAGAAGCAACTCTTTGATTTGGTGGGCTTGGATAAGGTCAAGGAGTCGATGAGGTCGGCAACTCGAGAAGCGTTCCGGTCACATCTGCAGTCGAGTCGATACAGTGTCGATGCGGTGGACGTGCGTAAGACGAACGGAGATGTTTTACAAAAAACGAAGACGAACGGACGTGCCTAAGTTTTTAATACGTGCGTGTTGTTTTTGTTGAGAGATCGCACTGATCGAACCATCCTGTTTTGGAAAAGGGTTTGACCTTTTTCCAACTGGTGGGGGCAGCAACGGCAGTTGCTGGAGCTGGTGTTGGGAAGAAGACTGAGACACTCGCAGGTTGTTGTTTCGGTTCTTTGATGCTTTCTTACTAGGTTGACATTGGTTGCATTTGCATAGAGTGAAGGTGTGAGTGAGTCATCTACAGTATCAAGGTATATACCTAACATTGATGTTCATGATTTCTGTACAGGGCTTGCATCAAAGGCACATGTAGTCAATACTGTAATTCTGACACAAGCACACTCCTTCACCCCTTTAATTTCGTTCTGACCCCCGCTTGCAGAATAGACGGCGTATTGTGTTTGATTAGTTTGCTATATTTTTAAAAGCTTGCCTCCACCAGCACCTCACTGGCAGAGTTTGTGTTGTACTCAATGTGGTTTGGGCCCAGCTTGTAGCAATCAGTTTGGGTGTTTACTCTTCTTTGTGCTGATAGACTGATGTGCTACATCTCTTTTAACGTGAGCAGAAGAAGAAGTAGAATGAACTAGAATGAAATAGATGTTTGTGTAACATTTCACGTGTTACTCAGACTTCTTCCACTTGTTTTGTAGAATGAAGTTAAGTTTATTGACTCGAGGACTAGGAGTTGAAGCAGCTTCCGATCTTTGAGAAATCCAACAACAGAAATCCTCTCCATTCCAATATGCCAAGCGATACCAACTTGAAGAAAAATACCAAGTACCTGAAGAAAAAGAGCTATGAAGAACATAGTCTAATTATATGATACCTGCACATTCACGTACAATTCCACTAAAACATACACCCATAATGTACATTATAGCCTGAGGAGCAATAAACAACGAGACGTCCTTGTTCGCGAAAGGACGCATCCCAACAGGTCCTTCCAAACACAGGCTGAGACCATCCCGACCCGTCGGAACGTTGGAAGGACCTTGTTGGACTTGGTGGAGTTCAGCAAGGCCCGCGGAGATGCCGGTGAGACACCGAAGAGAAGCCCACGCCACACATGACACACACGCGGTGACTGTGGAGACAAGAAGGAGCCCAGTAGCAATCGCCTTCAACCTAACAAAGCGATGGACAGACTCGGTCAGTATTTCTTTGGGGAAGCAGAATCAATCACGCTTATGCTGGTTTTTCAGCACCCTTTCGGGCCAAGAGCTGGTTTTTCTTCTTACTGCAGAACGGGCGTATTTTTTGTTTGGCTTCCGCTTCAGTTTTGGTGCCAGCACTAGCTGCTAGCTGCAAGCAGGGCACAAAGGCCATCAAAGACCCCAACCAGATGCAATTTCAGAGGGGGAAAGCATTTTTGGAGGGACCAGCGTCGTGTTCCCATGCATTTTGTAAGCTTAGTGTTTCATAAATTTTGAGCGGGCTTGATGTATCGAAGGAGGCTAAACTTTTTTGCCCGCCCAGCGATGTTGAAGATGCCCAAACTGGCCAAGAGCAAGGACGCTACTAGGAGCAATGACGCTACCAGGGGCTCCTGGCCTTACTAATTACTAGGAGCAAGGACGCTACTAGGAGCAAGTGCCTTACTAGTAGTAACAAGTGCCTTACTAGTAGTAACAAGAAGCTACGAACGGGGCTCCTGGCCTTACTAATTACTAGGAGCAAAGGGCGTCGCTAGGAACGGAGTATACTCCGAGCAATGTCAGGCCGTTGACCTGTTGGACCTGTCCAGACCAAACAGACACCCACCGAACACCCAGAGAACCAAGTTGCCCACTTGAGACACTGGTTTAACAGCCTGTGTCAAGACTACGTCATCTATGGTCCTGTAGTTGGATAGTGAACTACAATTTCAATTTGTTTGGTCCATCACATTGAGAACAAATTTCTCAAAGTGCAGAAGCTCACCTAGACCTAGACCACATACGGAGGTTTATGTGATCCGGTGCTTTCTGAATTCGACATCCCAACCCTGGCCTTGGAAAAGATTGTGTTCCCCCTAGTGCCCTTTTCATCAGCGGATCAGCGGCGATCAGCGGCACAGATGCGTGAAAAGTCTGGGATGCATGGCTTTGCGGCGCAAAGTCCTTCGGCCGAGCCGAGTTCAGCCGACCCATCGTCCGGACGTCGCGACCGTCGCGTTCTGCCGGGTTCAGATGGGTCGGCGCTGCGTGGTTTGTTTAGTTCGGGGGGGTCCATGATGCTGAGAATCCTTCAGGTGTCAAAATGACTTCTTCAGTATATCAGAAGTGATTTCTTCAGGTGTCATATCAGAAATGACTTCTCAGGTGTCATAGAAGTGACTTGGCTACATGACCATGCCGCTGACCGCGGTTCCCTCAAATTCGGTTCATGTCCTCGTGTCCTCGTGTCACTGGCACACTGAGGCTTGCACATGCGCTTCTTGGGCAATCCTGGCACTGGAAAGACCGTGGTGGCACGCTTGGTGGGTGAGCTCTTGTTGGCAATGGGAGACACCTGGCAGAACCAAGAAGAAGGGGTGGCAAGGAAACAAGCGGAACTTATGCAGCTTGTTTGTTTGTGAAGGCTCATTCAACAAAAGGATACATCAGAAAAATATCAGGAGTCGTACTAAATTATATATATACATTATGTTATCATGTATTAATTATTACATGTATTGTTTTTTGTTATTGTCGTTTTTGCTTTTGTTTTTAAATAGATATGATATACATATTGTTTGCTTTGCGTGTGCCCCATGCTACAATCACTGTTTGACAAGACGCTACTTTGCTCCGTCGATCCACTCGCCGAATGCTGCTCCGCGGACCGATCATCGGTGACCGATCTCGGGTAGCGATGCCAGGAGCCCCGTTCGTAGCGTCCGATCGCTCCGTTCGTAGTAAGGCCAGGAACCCCTAGTAGATCCTAGTAGCTTCTTGTTGTTAGTAGCGATGGCCTCCACCTAATTGCTTCTAGCTACTAGCAGCTACCAGCAGCTTCTTCTTCTTCAATCTTTTCCCGGTTTGCAACACCTAAAAGATATGTGCTCTTTTGGATGGTACGAACAAGGTGGAAGCAGTGGTGGATTTCCTCCAAGTTGCGTGTTTGTTCTTCCGTGTCGTTTTTCAATATGGCCAGAAACAAGAGTGTGCAGGTAACTTAAAACCCCTGCTTTGGAGATACCAGTGCTAAATGATGATTTGTATTAATTAGAGCACTAACTAACTAACTAACTAACTAACTACTGACTAACTAACTAAGGTACTGTCTTTTCCGGTTAACACAGCGGTCAAGATTGGTTGTGAGGTCTCTAATCTTCCTCGAGCTGTTGCAAGCTTGAGGCGATCACACCGGTTGAGGGTGGCAACACCAGCAGTGGCTTTGTTTTCAAGCAACTTGTCCAAGAAGAGTTTCTCGCTGACAGAGTTTTCCTTGGGACATGCAAAAACGCGTGGACAACCCACATGATAAGCACAAGGTTTAGATTCTTGATTGTTCTTGCTACAGAAGTAGTTGTGGGTTGCGTTCATTTCTCCAAACGCAGGCTTGGTGCACAATTACTTACTGTATATACTTGCATAATCTTACTCAGTCATGAAAGCCATTGGGTACTGTGCACCAAAGCATTGAAACAAGTGATAGCACGCAACCATTCTGATTGTCCACATGACAAAGCTAACTTGTTCCTTTTTCAGCATTTGCCAGTGGCAACCACTCCAACGATGGTCAAAACCTGGTGCCCTGGTCCACCATGCAGCTTGGCCTTCCAAATAGGTCAAGCAATGTATCCTGGTTTCAACCCAAAGCCATGTAGTAGCTAGTAATCTGTGCTGTAGGGCACAATGCATCTGTGAATCAAAGCCAAGCGCCTCCACAACGAAGCAAGACATAGACTATAGACATGCATGGTTATATGTTGTAATGGTATTTGGGAAGAAGCGGTGACGGGCAGCCTGTGACCATTCAATGTACGTGATCATCACAACGCTATACAGCAATGGGCGATGAGTCGTTCTGTCTGATCCATTCGGGGCTAATTGGATCTAACTGGCATTGGACATGAGGATATTCACAATTCAGGGACATTATAACATAATGTTCCTTCGATTTGATCGTCCATTTGGACGTACTGCCAGGGATGGGATCCTTCTCCTTCTCCCTGAACCGACCAACAGCCCGCGCATGCACCCGGTGAACGAAGGGAAGCCTCCCGCGACCAAGGGAAGCCTCTCGCGCCGACCTAGTGGGCGAGCACACTGGGGCCACAGCAATTAAGGCACTTCGTTTTGGGTCGCGTTTTGAAGCGATCGTGATCGGGATGGTCGTAACACCGGGATGGGTCCTGAACCATTGAGAGTTTGATGTTCGAAAGAGACCTTGGGAGCCGTACGCCCCTTTTTTTCCAGGACAGGATACGATCCAAATCCATCAGATCAGAATGCTCCGTCACTTGATGTCAGTGTAACCGCAAGGTTTTCTCAGCACAGTCAGATTACAGATTTTTATTCAACACCACGTCAACGTCGTCATCTGCCTGCGCATTCGCGTCCGTCCTCGCGTCCGCATATTCAGGTCCAGGGGGTTGTGAAAGAAGCCTTGGGTGGAGTTTTGTTCATCGACGAAGCCTATGCCTTGGTCCAAGGAGACGACAAGACGAGAGACGAGACGACCCATCTGAAAAAGTGGCACCCAACGAATGGCCTTTTGGAATATGAAGTCAAATGAGTGTTTGCTTGGTTGAGGTGATCTACTGCATCATGCGGCATCATGCTGTGCCGGTTGCTTTGTATGTGTTTGACAAGTTATAAGCAAACAGAGAACACGTGAAAATAATATGAGCACTCAGCAAACTCAGATTCAACTCATGTGCGTGTCACAGTTTCTTTCGGTCACACGCACATCGCCCAGTCTTTCCAACGCTTTTCTGGGCCCAGAACTTCATGCGCACAGTGCCCAGGGTAACTCCTTGACGCCAGATGGCCAGTGTTCAGGAGCCAGGGACAACTTTGGGGTGGAGGCTGTTGACACTTTGTGACTTGGTGGAGAAAACTCTTCATCCGCAAAGGCTTGGTGGAGCAAACCAAAAGCCGACCTGGTCGTGACTATTTTTGCATTGGGAGCTGTGAGTGGGGTGGTTTTGAATCATCAGAGGACGTGAGTGGTTTTGGATCCTGCCAATGTTGTATTGGCATGTCCTTGTCGTCTGAGGATCAAGGAGATGGAGGACAACCGCGCGCATTTGATCGTGGCTTGGCACGCATGATGCATCCGTTTCATGAAGAGTCAAAGATGAATTCACATCAAATCTGACATGGGAAACTGAAACCGAAGCGAAGGAATTGGGCGTGTCGGCTCAGTGTGATAAACGTAAGAGGAACATTCTGGGAGTGAATCTGGGAGATTGAAGCATGAGTGAACAACAATAGCTACATATTTTTATTGTTAGACGGGGTTCTTGCTCAACTGAGAGCCCTCCAACAAAGAAGTTGCAGTCAAACAGCCCTTTAGAGCCTTTCAACTGATCGATCGGCGTTTGCAAGGTCATCTTGGCAGGCTACACCAAGGACCACGATGGCCGAGTCAATATGTGACATCACGGTATTGATCGGTGAAATTTGACTGTCCCCCCTGCCAAAGCCTTTGTCTGCTGAGCCTCTAAGTGTAGCTAGGAGCAAGCCTCGTACCGTGAGCAGTAGCTTACCGGGTTGTTGGAAATGATATTATCTTGTCCTCTGACGAACACATCACAACTGGTTGGTAGAGGATTTCAATGTCCTCCCAGTGGCCATGCCATCTACCTCCATGTTCATGAAGCGGAGTATATGTAATATATATATATATGTATAAAGTTAGTTCTTTATAAATGTTCTTTATGTTTTCTTTATAGTTTATTTTAGTTTTCTTTATAACAACCTTCATGATATAACCTTCATCTGGTTTTCTGCGACCGACTTCTTGTGGCGACCTGCATGATTGGAACGGATAGCCTGGATAGCCCTATCCAAGAACTCATTTAAACCGATCCACGATTTGCTTGGTTTAAACTGGCAAACACTGGCTGACAAGCTGGCTTCTCCTTTGGATCATGGCTTGACCCCAAAGCCGAAGCTTCGAGATCTCACGATTGAAAGAGGTGCTGTCAAAGACCAGGTCCGTGAGACTTCATGAGACCAGGTTCATCGGGTTCGTGGACTGAAAGAGCTGAGTTCATGGACCTTTCAAAAAAAACAAAAACATAATAAAGTAATACTCTACTTCGAGTGATCCCCACCATGACAATTCAATCATTTGTCTTCATGCCATGGTGAGGAGCATGTTGCTATCGGCTTTGTTTGTGGGTCCTCGGGTTGTGTGCTGTGATTGTGGTTGTGTGTTGTGGTTGTGTGTTTGTGGTTGTGTGTTTGTGATTGTGCTTGTGTCTTTGTGATTGAGTGCTGTGGTTGTGTGTTTGTGATTGTGTGTATTTGTGGACGTCTTTGTTGTTGTGTTTTTGTGACTGTGTGTTTGTGATTGTGTTTGTGGTTTTGTTTTTGTGATTGTGTGTTTGTCGTTGTGGTTGTGTGTTGGATGAGGTTCGGCAGCCCCCGGTGCGTTCGGGAGCTGGCGGCCTGAAGGACCTGAAATCGATTCCTTTCTCACCAGCCAGGCTATAGGCATCCCGTCAAGGCCAGGCGTACCGGAACGCCGTGACGCAGTCCAGCGAACACATGCAGGAAATGGATGACTTCTTCAACTCCAATCCTGGGTTTCAGCCTCTCGTCAAGCTCAAAAGCACTCCAGCCACCCAATTTTTTTTAGTTGGAATCGGTCTAAAAAGACCTCGACGTCAGCTGATGTGTGTGTTTTTTCCGAATGGCCGGGCCGCATACCCGCATACCCGAGTGCCTCTTTGCCGCTTTTGTTTGTGTTTTTGAGGTCGCGAGTGCCGTTCTCCTTTGAGTTCGCAGACTACTCTTGCCCCGAACTGACACAGCAACTTGGGCGGCAGCAGCAAAGATTGGGATCCGGGGCACCTCTCACACAATTTCTTTGGCTTAAAGCAACCAACATATTACCAACCAAGGCATAGATACTTTGTGCTTGCCCCATCCCCACGATAGGAATCGGTAAATTTAAGGTGTAGCGTTTGAGAGTCCAACACTTCCTGACCCAACCATTCATGTTCCTTGGCCACTACAATTCTTGGTGTACGCCCGTCATCCCCGGGTGCCGGACGGGTGCTGGACGATGGATCTATACCCATCAGCCATGCTGCGATTCCATTGCTGACAGGATTGGCCAGTTGCAACTGAAGTCCAAGAGCATCGCATTGAAGGCGTGGGGCAGGTTGTCGTGGCGGGATTGGCTGACCAGAGATGCTTGATGGTTTGGCTGACCATGTAGGAGCAAACATGTTTGGTGCCTTGGATATCTTGGATCGTCCACAGAGTTGTTTCAATGTGATGCTAGATGTTTTCCAATCGGAACTATCTGGCGCTGTGAATGAGCAGAACGCCATGGAACCAAACTCCTCACTCTGTTTACTCTTTCTTGGCAGGGTAAAATAAGATCGATGGAGGGTAGTATTTATCCAGACAGGGATCGATATATTGAAAAGACTTGAAACCCTGGTGACTTAGACTTAATTTCCAGTACTGAGGATTTCAGTCACAAGGTCTCGTATTTGTATACCAACTCATTCAAAGGCACCTTGTCATGCATTTGGTTAAATCGATGCACCTATGTTTTTGCAAAATAACCTCAAATGTCAATCACACGCATTGAAACGGCTACACAGATTAGTCTTGACTTCTCTTCAGTTTTGAGCCAAGTAGCTCCACGTTTTAATCGTGCGGTCTTCGTGATGCGTCATGGGCCTTACTCAGATTGTTCACCTTTGTAAACCCATCAAAAGGCTCGACGTGCCTTTGAAACCGACCACGGTCCAACCTTTGAGCATTTTTTTGTTTCGGAGCCCTGCATAGACCAAAAGGACCCTGGATGTTCAAGGTTTGAGAAAACTATATTTGGCAGACAAGTTCATGACTCCTTTTTTGAGCAACATATTGCAAAACCAAGCTGATGCCAATGCAGTTGCACAATTCCTGCTCCTGCTCGCGACACTTCTATTCTCAGAGTTGATCAGAGTATACCTCAACGTTCGTTTTGTTCTCGGAAATTATGGTTTTGCCCATCAGGTGATGTGAGTCCCCATGGGTGAATCTCGATCATGATTTTGTGTTTTGGGATATTCTAAGAAGCAAATAGCTACTAGTAGCGTCCGTGCTCCTAATAGCGGTCTCCTCCACCTAATAGCGATGGCCTCCACCTAATAGCGTCCTTGCAAGAAGCAAATCCAAGAACTACTTTGTCATCAAAGACTAATGTTGTCAGGATATGTCAAAACAACTGCCTACCTGGGCTGGCTGTCGTTTGGACGTTTCTGCTTGGAGGTCGATGAAAAGCTGACACCAGTTTGCCTCACCAAGAGCCTGTCTAGTTGGTATCACCCGCCAGGGTACGTTAAAGTTCACACATCGGTAGAATCCTGATTTGCAACGATACTATTTGGTGAATTATGTGAATTGTTGTGACCCAGTTGGGTGACTGCTTCCCTGCCTGGGCGCATTCACTGTCACATCAAGTGCCAAGTGCCCTTGCAGCCATCCATCGGGACCCAGTTTGAGTTTCGACCTCACCCGTCCGCCCGAACCATTTCACTTGCGACTCACTCGTTTTGTTGGGCAACCTCCTCCGACACCGCCGGAACCGGCGAGTGGCGAGGGCGACGGCAACTGCAACGAGGGCAGTTCTTGTTGGTGGCTGCGGCGAACCGCTCAATTGACGCCCGCCCTGACGAGGTCCACCGAGGTCCACTCGTCCGTGGTCCACGACTCGTCAGAGGTCTTCGGTCGATTTCGTTCTGTTTTGGCATGGTCTCGAGGTCTGTTTTCAGCAGCCACCGAATACATCCAAATCCCGTTTCACATCGGGGCGGTTTTCACTCCACGTCCCGATGTGTTGGAGGGTGCATGTGAGGACCATGTACTCCACGTCATCCGACTGGGTCGTCTACTGCGGGGAGATGGACCTCTCTCTTGGGGGGCCTGTCTTAAAAAGGGAAGACATATCCGAGTGATACCATATGAGAAGCTTCACCTCTAGGAAGACATATTCAGGAGAAGCTGAAGGTGAAATCTATATAGATGAACAAGCTATGCCGGAGAATCTGGCGGAAGGATGCGGGAGGATCCTGTGCAGGTGAGATCGAATTTGCGCGAGAGGGTGAAGGCCAGTCAATGTATCCTTTACCAGCTCCGACAAAGGATACCTCACCAGCCATAAAGTCCACTAGGTACAGTTTCTTTGGGAGATACAGGTGGTACAGGATTGATTTCCTTCCTTGAGCACTTTCAATACTTTCATAGCTCGTTGGTCCTCCAGATCGATGTGAGTTGCATCGCTTTCGCATGAAAACTGGCCACTGGGCACAACCGAACGGCGTTGCCTTCTTCGGCCCAGCATGCTGGGTCCATTCCTCGATCGCCGAGTTCGTTGCTCAACGCGCTAAGGAGCACAAGATGCTGTGACGAAGAGGACAAGAGCAAGTGCGAGTCTTGGATTGCAACGTGTAGCTTTAGATGGTTTTATGATGTTTTATGTTTTAGAGTTGTGTTTTTTTCCTTAGTTTCTGAAGAATCATATGTTTTTACTTGTAGCCAGGCTCCTTCAGGCGTTTTCACTTGCTTGCTACGTTGAGGTTTGCCATAGCCATCACGTCTACTTGTCGTGCCGAGAGACGTCGACGTCACTGTGGGTTGTGATGTTTTCATTGGAACCTGGTGAGCGGTTTAAAGGCATTTAGGCGTGAAATATGCAGGTTTTTCTGGAGAGTCAGAGGTGTTCACTTTCAAATCAGAGGAGGACAGATGTCAACCTTGACCACCTTGACCACGGTGAAACTATACTCATACTTTGACTTGTTGGGTTGTCTTCCCACCCAGGACCCTTTCTAGCGGTCCTAGCCAAAGACCATAATTATGCAGTACATGGAACCCAACCAGAGCTTCATGTCATCATTCATGAAACTACAACGGTGCCGTGTGTGGACAACCTTTGTTGACTGATACTGCATCTTGCCCGCAAAGTTGATTCAAGAGCATCCACTATGCTTGGTGAGGGGTGCATGAAACATTCAGTTGCACTAGTTTTCTTTGGACACACTGACTGAACTGGCTTTGTCAAGCTTTATGTCATCATATGGAAACATTTTTTCCTGAGACATGCCCACGATTCGACATAACACGCCCACCATGTGTTCGTGGAACGATCGGGGATGAAACACATCGATCGTTTGAGGACATGTCGAAGAACGATCGGCGACTCGGCGAGATCTCGGCGAAGCTCCGGTTGAATCGGCGAACCCCAAAATGGAGTATAAGCTATACAAACAGGTGCTGGTTGGTTATGGTTGGGTCACCCACCATCGCAAACAATGGGTGAGATATGCATACTGGACCTATGTGGTGATTAGAGACTCTTTTGTTCACTGTTGGGTTGGAAGGATGCAGGGATGTTTTTCTTTCACCAACACCGCAGCCACCGAAGCTGACCCCGGGGCCGGTTGATTTGTTTGATCTATTCCGGGATCGCTTGTTGATCAGGCCCACATCATGTGGGCAGATTTGCTTACAGGAGGGTGAGCATGTTCTTGCTGCGGTGTTTGTTACTCTGGATTAGGAATTGCTTGATCCAAAACACTCATAAGGAATTCACCAGTCATTGAGCTGCATGTCCTTTATATGATTAGATGTTTGCTGAGCCAGAAGTGATACTGCAGTGCTTGGTGTTGTTCGGCTTGCCCGTGTCCGTTGGAACAGTCGGTCGGTCGGACCTCTTCAGGTCGAATGGCAATGGCCGTACCGTCCGGCCTCTGGGCGGTGAATGCCCCTAACTAACCGCACTGTGTGGGGACCGGACCAAGCTGGGAGAAATTGGAGCAAGCTGGAGCGGTCAACATATTCAACTTTTCATGCACCTAAGAGCGCCTTTCTTGGGGAAGGTTAAACCATACACATCATACCAGGTGCGATTCGGTTGGCTTGCACGCCTACAGCGTGGTATTTTCTGTGTTTTGTCCTGTCAGAATTTGAGCACAGGCCTGATATCCAGGTGACCGGAGCATCGGAATCGGGGATCAAACTGGAGGGCCATGGCGCCATGTCTCCAGGTGATGCACTGGTTGGATGGCCATCATACGCTTTGACAAAATGCAACTCTCACTCTAGACCATCAACCAGATGTCTCTAGGGCACACGGTCCCATGTCTCGAACCATGTGATGTAAGTGTTTTTTTTTTTTTTAAATAAGAGGTTATATGGTTCTTATTGTCTAAATTGTTTTGCGATGCTGAACTGTCCATGCAGATCTTCCAAACCTCCCAGAGTGTCCAAACCTTCCAGCACAGTCCAATCCTCCACACAGACGGAGGCATAGATGGGCTTTTACTATTGGTTGGTTGATCAATAGAGAGGATACAAACCGATAGGTGTACAACCAATGGGATCCAATGGTCCAGACCGACCCCTCTGTTCTTCCCAAGTACGGACATCACTGGTGACCGAGGAACATCTTGGAGTCCAGCTTTCGTCACATGGCCTTGCGAGTCTTGAAAGGACTCTCTCCCGAGAAGCTCAAGGAATTCTTCCAGGCGTGAAAACCGAAGATGACCGGGGTAGAAGTCCAGTAGTGTAGGGAGGTCGACGCTTTGGATTTTAATTGGTGACGTCTTGGAAAGCTGATTCCTTCTTTTTTGCTTGCAGAAGCCCTTGGTGTGTCGTCGTTCATTCTGAAAGCCTTTTTTTCAATCGGACATCCCCGGCAGCGATGTTGGGAGAAAGGAGCGAGGGAGATCAAAGATTGCCCATCCAGTCAGTGGATAACCGCCCAAACTTTTTTGAGGAGCGGTTTCCCCACTAAACATGAGCTTTGTGGTGAGTTGGGGCACTTGATCCAGAGTGTTTTGTGACGATTAGTGCTGGCTAGCGGCTAGCGACTTTCTTGGTGCCAGAGGTAAAGGAAGAAGGTGGAAAGTTCATGAAAGTTCGCTTAGCCATGCTTCGCCTATTTTTCTTGCTACTAGGAGCAAAGGGCATCGCTTCTCCCACGACAAAACGGCTCCGGGAGTCAGAACATGATTGATCGAGGCATTGAAACACAAGCGACACATGATGCCACATGCAACATGCAACATCATGCGACCAGGTCGGAGTTGAAATACTGATCCTTTGCGGCCCAGATTGTGTCCAAGAAAAGCATGGACCACTGGCTACTTCAGCCATCCCTTTGTTTGAAATGGGAAAAACACACATGAACACTTATTTGGAAGCAACATGGGGCGAAGTATTGGGATACTTGGTTTGATTTTTAAACGCTACCTAGTAGCGTTTCTTTGCTCCTATAGTAGTAATGCCCTTTGTTACTAAGTAGTAGCGATGCCCTTTGCTCCGTTCGTAGCTTCTTGTTCCGTTCGTAGTAAGGCCAGGAGCTCGCCCCGTTCGGTGCGTCCGATCAACTCGTTGGGCCCAATCTCTCCCGATCGTTCTCCGCACGTTCAGCCGGCGTCGTGGGGCGGGTCGTTTCGAGGCCCTGCCGAACGCGCCCCCCATGGATTGTGGCTCTCCGGAGGCAGTTTGGCGGTATAGCGGGTGGGGACCGAACTCCGTCAGAGTTTGGCGGTATAGCGGGTCGATCTAAGTTGATCCGTTGCTTGTGTTCGAACCAAGAGCCAACCTGCTGGTGGAACGGCCAGGTTGGCCAGGTGTCAGCTTCCAAGCCGAAATGGGATTCCTTTCAAGGGTTCTCTTCCGCGTTCTTAATTGGTGGACACAGGATCCTTGATGTTCCTCCAAGTTGATGTTTTTGGTCTCTTCTCACCAAGGGTTGTGACCTCAAGCTGCACTTTGGTTGTTTCACCTCTTTCACCAAAGCTGGATATGCGTGTAATTTGCGTCCTGTGGCTATTTTTCCAGAGATCCTATGCCTTAGCTAGCTTAACCTTTTGCCAGATCCAGACATCCCAGTGTAGTAAACAACAAATGATTCCAAGCACAATTTGTTGAAGATTGTTGAAGCAAGGGCCCTGGTAGGTGACCCACTTTGCTGAGATCCAGTCCACTGAAAATCTTTGCTGGTTCTTTGTGTAGCCACTCTCAACTGGCAGGTGTCATTTGACGGCTACAATGGCAAAGTGCTTTGGCATTCCATGAATAGCAGGTTTAGAACCGCACAGTTCGCGTGTTGTTTCTAAGATTGACCCAGTTTGTCAAGAGTGCGGTCTGTTTTGTTTGGTCATAATGATAGGAAGCCATCCGCTCTTCATAGAAAAGTGATGAAAAGTGTGCTTGAGTTGCTAGATACTAGAGACGCAACATGAGGATTTTTGTGTAAATGAGGGCTCGCTGTGCGACGGGATGGTGGACGTTGGATGTCGATTTCAGCGGTCACTTTGACCGATCGACAAACTGGTGGGGATTCAATTCGAGAGAGCAGGAGGTATTTGGCTTTCTTCACCCTGACTTCATTTGTCATCCCTTATATATATATATATGTGTAATCATGTGTAATCCATTTCTTCCTTCCTTTTCCATGCACAAAAACGCTGACCAGCAAGGATCTTCGCTGTGATTTCAGCCTCCTCGAGGCGACCACCGATCGGTTGGTTCGGGCAACGACCGGATCAACCGTCCCGATGGCGGAGATTTGGATGTTCACCGCCATGAGCTATCCAGCGCTATCCGGTCGGAGTCGCAGGTCGATTGCAGCGATTACACGTTCAGGTATTTCCTAATTATGGTTGTTTGTTGTTTTTTTGTGCGGTTAATGATGTATTTTCTTAGGCATAGGGGAGAGACCAAAGATTGCCAGGTACAGTAGTCAGTAGGGAAGGCACATGAACCTACAGTAAAGTGCGCAGCTGGGATGTTCGGTGTCTAGATGTGTCTAGAATCACAATGCTTCTACCCCTTGGTCTTTGTGCTTTAAACGACAGCACATTTCTTTGACAACACTTGTTGGTGGATTTCCTTGTTGAAAAACAACTGCATTGATCCCCCAGAATTTCTTGTAGCTCCAAGAAGCCGTGTCTTTAAGATGAAGAAGAGGCCTCCGCATGTGGCTGGTCTCGAAAACATCATCACTCGGGTTAACAAGCTCCTGTCCGCTTGGGACAGGGAAATGATCTGGTGTCCAGCACCTTGGACCTGCTGAATCTGAACATCGCGCCTTGCAAAACCCAGATCACCCGAGATCAGGCGACCGACCTACCCCGTATGTTTTTTTGTCGTTTTGGGCAAGGGGACGTTTGGACCGAGCAGATGATGACATGGTGAAACCCGGAGTGGCCTGAGCCGCAGATCTTCTTTGGATTCTTTGGATGTTAAAAGGGACGATCAGAAGATGTTGTTTCCAGGAGCCCCTAGTAGCTTCTTGCTCCTAGTAGTATGACCAGGAGCCCCTAGTAGCCTCTTGCTCCTCGTAGTAAGGCCAGGAGCCCCTAGTCGCGTTGGCAGACTGGACAGTTGCCCTTTGGCTGTCTTACAGGTGGTTTCTTGGCCTTGGGCTTTCACAGGCTGCTGGTTTGGCTTGCTTATTGCGTCGGTGGTGGATTACTTTTGGCTTGTCTGCTGGCGGATTCTGGGTGGCGTTCCGGGGGATGTCACAAAAAGCCGCTACACCGCTACAGAAAAACACGTGGCGTTCCGGGCGATCAGTCGAGTGTCCCAAAGCCTTCCAAGACTAACGCATACAGCCCCACAGTTCTGGAAATACTAGCAAGTCAAACACTCACGTGCCCAAACTGTGTAAATACTTGCAGGCCCCTACTTGGAAAGAGCTTGTTCCTGACAGGCAAAATATCGTGTATGTAGTTGTTTGGATTGGATTAAACACACCAGTTGATTTGAATTCAGTGCATTCTGTGCGCCTTCCTGAAAGGCAAAGGCTAGCAGATTTGACAACGTTCTATTGTAACTACTTTTCTGATATGAACAAGTCGGTACCTGCTTTATTGATGCCTATATGATCATTTCTTGGATGCAAATCGGGGTCATCAAACTCAGGTCACATGTTGTTGGGTTTAGGATGGTTTTAGGGTTTGATGGCCAAATTGGACCAAAGTCCAAATCTATGTTCTCAAAGCGACCTCCGTTTGACCCGGTGGGTTTCGACGCTCTCCGTCGACGACGCTATCGACTCGGTCAGGTGACCCGCGCGGCGGGTGACGCCAGTCGTTGGACACAGTTGGCCGAGCTCTTGGCCGAGGCAGGGCGGGACAGGGGTGAGATTGGAAGAAAAGCCTGGAAGATATCCATAAGGACACAGATTGGAGAATCAGGATAGTTTGTTTAATGATGTTTGGCATGTTTGGCCTTGCTTTCTCCGTGGTGTTCTTTTGTTGATGATTGCAAGAGGCAGGGGTGGGAAGCGGTGGGTCGTTTTGGTGGTGTCCAATCAGGAATTGCCCACTGAGATGTTTGGCCATCGGAGATCTAGCAACATGTTGTTCCAGTATGGTCTGGAGTTTTTGAGAGGCAGGTCGTGCAAAAGGTAAATAGGCCGTGCATGGTTTTGCAACCCCAATTCTTCCATTTTGCACAGCCTCGAGCAGGAGTTCTTCAGGAGTGAACGGCGCATCAACTAAGAAAATCACGGTTGTGAAACAATTCGAGGCTTGCTTCCTCAAAACGTGGACGTCAGAAGTTAACAAGTATTTGTACAGTAGATGTTTTGGATTTTTTTTGGTGTCGTTTTTCAAAGGTTTTGTTCAAGGGATCAAAGTCATGAGATGACTCATCCATTGCCATGAGTCGACCTTTTTGGTTGTGTCCCATGTTTTGGTCAGAACGTAGGTCAGAACGTGTTCTTGGCATGGCCGAGGTCACCGATACCAAGACCGGATCCAAACAGAAGCTTGAGGCTCGTCACATCTCAAGTGCTTGGTACGTTAGAGGCTTGCGCGTTCTCAGTGCTTTCTGTGGCTTTCTTTTTCGCAGAAGAAAAGGGTGTCGCGATGAAGGGATTGACATGACATAGTCGTTCAAAGAAATCTTGGTCCCTCAAGTACTCGTTTGATCTCGTTTGCCAGTCTCGAAACAAGATCATTTTGCTTTAGGGATGAAGGATTGGATGCAAATTCATCAATAGATATCAACAGTGAAGGATGTTAAGAATTTTACCGCGACAGGCGTCCTGCTCGAAAGTCTACGCCTTCCTGGATTTGTTCTCAGGCCGTCATTGCGGTCTTGGGCCTTCATTCTTGTCGTCTCGCGGGTGCTTTTCGTGTCTACCACTTGTGCTGTTTTACAGGTTCTACAAGACCTCTCTTGTTCTTTCCCTCCAGTCTGTCCCAGGTGCATCAACACTACCCGAAGTTCGTGCAAAATGTGAGATTATATTCTGTAAACATGCACTGAACACTTTCAAAACTTTTGATGGTGTCATGAGAAGTGATTGTCCTTTGGCATGCTGCAAGGGATGTGGGAGCGAGGTGTGGAACACCTCACGTGTTTGGAAAACAATGGAATGGAGTCTGAAAGGCAATTCTTTTGATGCTCGCACGCTTCTGAAGGCTGCCCTTTGGTTAGTGCTACACAATGACCTTTGCTCCCCTGATAGGCTGCCCTCAAGAAGCTAATTGGCATGATGTTCCCGCATTGTCACTCTGTGTGTAAATGTAATATAAGAGGGTCAACAAGCAGATCAATCTTGAAGTTGTCGAGATCAAACAGACCCTAATGGGAAAGGCAAGAAAGAAAGGAAGAAGGAAAGCCACGCCTAAAAGAACAATGCGATAAGTAATCAATCAATTGACAGAAATTGAAATAGATATACAAAGACCAAAAGACATAAATAAGCATGAAATAATCAGCAAGATGAAGCAACAAAGCAGCACGAATGAACAACAGACAAACACAAAAAGGTATTGAGCGGCAACAGCAACAACACCACTATATAAACAATAACATTAAATAATGCCATGACTCCCATGTAGTTGACGAGTTCTCTTAGCTGCTCGTGTGGGGTTCAGTTCGTGATCATTGGGTTCGGTGGCAGTACATGCGGTACAGTCAATGATATGCAGCTGCCCAGGTCAAGTTGGTAATCATGAAATGCATGTTGCTTTTCCAGGGAAGGGGAAAAAGCAAGTCTCACCAAGCCTAATCTAGAAAGTACATCTCAGCAAGACTGTTTTTTGGCATTTTCAAGACTGGGAAAAGGCAAATCTCACAAAAAAATAACACAGGAATGTAAAGCACACCTCATAATCATGACATGTCTGAGATCAATAAGATCAATTCTTTTTTCCAATGTGCAAACTGCTAGATCACGCGATGGCCCAGAGAAACAACATGACATGAATGCAATTTACCAAAATGCATTCCAACACCCTGATGGTACAAATGAAAGCATAATCCGGGAATATCCCGAATTACTGTTTTCCAGCTACACCCAAATGGTATTCCAGAACCCTGGTGGGACTGCTATCTCAGAGTTTGTTTGGTACTTTGCCTTCTTCCTTCTGCGCCCGGGGAGAGCTAGTAATGCATGCAAAATCTGAAACATCCTTCGCTGCCATCATGACATGACCATCTCGCCAACTACGTAGTATTCTTGGATACCTAGGTTTGTTTTTGGTCCTCCTCGGACATGTTTTCTCTGAATTGATAGCGGATGTGATATCCTTTAGTTGATTCCTATTTGACTTTGTATATTCTGTTTTTTGGTGTGTTTTCTCTTTGAAGATTCCTTAAAGACCACTCCAAAGTCCTCCAACCTGTAATGAAGACCTTGGTCCTTTGGTCCGTGCTCATATACTGCAACATTTTGCTGCACGATCTTGGAGCCGTGAGCTTCCAATCCCCCAAGCTTGATCTGGGACATGCTTCCAGATGCGTCCGCTTGAGGTGGTTCTTTGATGGAGACCACAGAGACAGATGAAGAGGAGACGGAAGGGTTGGAAGGGAACTGAATTTATATAATTTGCACCGGTTCTCACGCAGGTGGACACTGAACGACATGTGGACACCAGGCGGATTCCCGTTAGTTGATGTTCAGATATCCGGAGACATCAAATGGATCAAGCCAGGAGGAGGCCCTTCTTTTTCTGCACCGTGTATATGGCAGGATGATTCAGGGGAAGTTTGAGAAACAAATACAACCATCCCTTCAATTCAAAAGAGGTTTCTATTCATTGTGAGACTATGAATCTGGTACAAGTGTTTCTTTTCTCATGGCGACGATGATTTCCGAATAGTGTTGAAAGCCTTTGCTTACATGTTCAAGTTACAATACAATATACTTATATACGTAGTATCACTGAGTGCACTTTGCACTGCCTGTTTTTGAGATGTCGATACTGTTTGTTGGTGCGCTGTTTGGATGCGGTTGATGCCCTTGAAGTACGCTTCCCAATCAGTCGATCCCTTCTTCCCTTTTGCCAACGGTTCCTTTTCTTTTTGCCAAAGGGCTATTTTGGCCCACACGGATCACGTAGCAATCGATTCCGTAGATTCCAAACTTGTAGACTCGACTCGAACGATAGCTCCTGAGGAGTTGGAGGAGATCCTTGGTGAAGACATTGAGGAGGACCAGGCGCAGAAAAACCACGCAACAAATTGGTGGTTCTTGAAGTGACAGGGGGGCTGATGGCGTATTGTGACTTGAGTTTTGTTTTGGCCGAATCTTAACGATTTTACATAGCGGATCGCAAACAAGCATTGGATTGTTTTGCAAGAGCTGGTGTGTGCTTCTGCGTTCATAACATATCTAAACCGCTTTGTTTGCATGTTCAACTGATACATTAATACATATATATATAGAATTACAGATATGATGCATCAGTAGATGCATCAGTATACATGTGTCGCTTGTGCCCGGTGTTCTTCTCAGATGCTTTTCAGACACAGAAACGGGAGTCGTTCGTCTCATGTCTCACATTGGAGTCGGACGAAGCGTCTGAGACTGGCGCCGTTCCGTTTGAGGATCAACGGCCGTATCTCTTCACGGCCGTTTTTAGGGGATATCTTTGCGGGTGTCTTCGTGAAGGGCCAAGCCAAGCCATTCACGGTGCATAGATCGAACTCCTGCGGGTGGTTCCGTTGAAACTTGAACATCGATATGTAAGGCTTCAGAACCTTCAATCCGGATTGTATAACCTTCAAGTCTGGAGTGCCTATAATTCAAGTTATTGACAGGATTGTGCAGTGAAGTCAAATAGCAATGAGGAGAGGATTTTGGCACCGGTAGCGATAGCCTATCAGTGGAGCAGCTTTCAACCACATGTTTTCTGCCTCAGACAGTGAAAGCTTTTGTGCCGAAGATTCAGGATGATGCCTTGATTCAAATGGCAGAGACCATGCAAGTGTCCCTGGCGAGTTTCTTTCTTTGTGGAGCGGAGTTCATTCCAAAGAGATTTTGCAGGTCTGTGTTTTGTGTGCTTTGCCCGAGCAGTTGCCCAAGGCTGCTTCATACCAGGCAAGTTTGCATACAAGTCAGGAAACATGTAGAATTAAAGACGAAGTCAAACTTATATACCTGGATCTTCCAACTGTGACAAATTTCTGTCTTTTCATCCATAAAATCAGCCAAAAGGCATAAATTTGGCATAGTTGGAAGATCCAGGTATATCTTTTGGGACGTTCTCGAATTTATTTGCCTTTGGAGGATGAAGTCAACACGCAAAGCCACACAATGAAAAACATTGAGAACCACAAGCATGGCGGAAGTGTTCCTCGCAAATGGTCACATGTGGGCTGTGGGTTTTCTTTTTTCTTTGACTTCCCTCTTGGCTGCCGCTCTTCAGATTCAGACCGTTTGTGTCTTTGTTTGTGTCGCACGGACCTGCACTATCCTGCACTCGCTGGGCGGAAGCCACTGAGTCCCAGAACCTGTCCGTTCCAGCCATTCGCCCGGAGAAAACCTGGGTGGGCTGCAGAAAACAACTAAAACAAAGACCATCAAAGACACCTGGTCGACCGCGGGGGTGGTAGGAAGAGACTATCAGAGGGGTGTTCTTTTGAACCAGCGACCTGGTTCTTGAGATATTTGGACTTGTTTAGGAGTTTTTGGGTTGTGGGAAGATTTATAATGAACAAGCAAGCTACTGGAGCAATTAGGGCATTGCTACGAACGGAACAAGGGCGCTACGATCGGGGCTCCTGGCCTTACTACGAACGGAGCGGACGCTACTAATTACCAGGACCCTCCTGTCAGGGTGTCTATTTATAGCCCCTTAGCTGCTTAGCTGTTAAGGGGTGTCCATTCACCACCACCCCTTGGGGGACCTGGTAGGAAGCTGTTTTTGTTTGGATTGTTCCTCGCCGCTCGCATCGCCAGGGTGATCCTTTGGACCGCTACGAGGTCATGCCGAAAGGTGGCTATTGCGAGGAGACCGAGCGTGCTCAAATGTCAATGGAATGGTGGAATGGATTGAGGGATCGAGGTCCGTCAAAATATAGTCAAACATACATCAAGGGCACTTTTGAAGACGTTCTGGCTTTGGAATCCGTCAGACTTCGGATTGAAAGGACCCGCCAATTCCAGCGCCATGAGGCCATGAGGTCCAGAACATTCTACAAACGGACACTTGTCACAGCACAGAAACCACCTCTGAAGACCTCAAGCTTTGCAATGGATCCAGAGCGATGTGGATCCAGGCCAGAGCGATTGGATGTCACCGGTGTTGACGGAGTCATCGAAGTGGTGGCGTTCCGGGAGGTGGAATGGTGGCGTGCAAGTGCTTTTGCCAGAGGCGACTTTTGAACATTTACTCACGAGACATGAGCCACCAGAACTCTTCATCACCAACAAGATCACTGAAGACTTTTGCCAGCTCAAGGCTTGAAACTTTGATTGTTTACTGGTGTAAGAACGCATCCCCCTTTCGTCAGAAATGACGTATGTATGAAACCTGAGGACTCCAAGATACTCCAAGCCTTTGGGGGTCCAACCTTGTCGCACCAAGTGGCCGGGCCTCGAAGCGCTGAGCGCCAACGCGATTGCACGAACACCTTCACTGAGCCCAAGCATGTCTTGACGAGACCCTGAACCGTGTTCAAACATGGTTCAAAAGATCGCCCGTTTGATTTGTGAGAAGACGATGTTCTTGTCCTTGTGGCAGTGGTAGCTATAGTGGTAGTGGTATTGGGATGTATTGGGTATTCGTATAGTGTGATAGTGAAACTGCCGTGCTCGCCACGAAATCTGTACGTTAAGCCACAAAACCAAGGTTCACAAAGTATCACAAAGTGCTGCGGTTGCCACAACATCTGTAGGTCGAAGTGCACAAAGTGCTGTGACTGTCACAAAATGTGCCCTTCGAGGTTCACAAAGTGCTTAGCGTGCCATGGAATTTGCGCTTCAAGATTCGCATCGCGCAGCCCTGCCAATGATTGCGTTTCGCAGATGCCCAAACAAAGCTCTCGCCAGATACATCAGAGTAAGCCGAGGAACATCACCAAAGCGCTGCGCTTGCCAACCAATTGGCGCATCGAAGTAAAACCGCTCCGATCTCCTGCACCGCTCCTCACGAAAGTCAAGTCGACTCCGGACCGCCCAAACACGAGGTTTCCCTTGCGCTGAGTCACTGAGCACGGAAAGTGATCACCAAGTCCGAACATGCGCACGGCACCACTATTAACGAGAGCGTCGAGGAATGCACCCAGCAGTTTCTGCGAGCCTGCGCAGTCGAAATGCACTCTCAAGATCTCGGGAGGCACGAAGTGAATTGGCGGCCCACGCCGGTGAGCACCTTGAGAAAGCACCCGGCCAGTCACCTGGCAACGACTGTAATGAAGAACCCCGACTGTTTGACCACAGTGTTTGGGGGCCTTCCAAGTGGCCTTCCATGACTTGAGGTTCTTCCAAACACAACACGAATCTATTCGAATCCCGTTCCTTCATTGGAATATATTGGAATGTTCGGTCCGAGCGGAGGAGAAGAAGCGCCGCATGAGCGGAGATCGGCCTCTCACGGGGCATCGAGCTCAGTGTGTCACAGTATACATTGGTTGATTCAGTAAATATCTCATTATAAAGGCATCATTCGGATGTCAAAACTATAGAGTTCATTGGCCACAAGGTCAAAACCTTTGAAGACAATTGCTGTACGCGTCCAATGTTTTTCTGTTTGTGACAGGATGCAATTGAATGACTGCGCGGACAAGTGCAACAAACTCCGAAAGGGCTGCACGGCCTTCGCGCACTATGATAGAGGCGAGGTTTCGAGGCAATGCTTGCTGTTACCTACCCAGTCAGTGGATATCCTTAACCTTCTTCTGGTGAGTTTCCACTAAAAAGACGAATGGAACATGTTTCCACTTCAGAGAACAACAGGGGATCAGGTTGTACTAGATTCATTGCTTGGGTGTGCATTAGAATGGAGAGACCCCCCAAGGAAAAATCAATTATAGCCACTAGTTGGGGGTCTCCCTGATCTACAAACCAAGGCCGAATGGTCGTATGGCAGTCGGAACTGGAATAATCCATGACTTGTGTCAAAGGTTTCAGACACTGTGCTTGTGGCATGGCACAGATCTCAGGCAAATCTCTCAGATATCGGTGTGACATGGTGTGACCCTTGAAGACCGACCCTTGAAGACCTCCCAAACCTTCCGAGTCTTCACCACTCAGCACCTGGACCTTCCCCCCACACCGCGCAGAATGCACCATCTACCACCGCGGCGTCCCCGATGGCGCCGTTGGACGACGGACGGCCCGGTGCTACCGGAAAGCCTCCGTGGGGGTGCCCAGGGAACTGTTGGTTTCGGGCGCTTGGACGACGGGAATGGGTGGAACAGATGACGGGCACAAACGTATGCCGTTGTAGTTATAGTCAAAGACGTTGTAGAGTTGTAGTTATATAGTAAAAAATAACAGTTGATGATGCAAAACTATGCTAAGCTGCTAAACAGTTGCTTGGCATTTTTTGGGGTTGGCTGAATTCAACAGAGAAGCAGCCCCAGCAACCCTTGCCTGTTTGATTTGCTTAAGCAGTTTGTTATTTTAATTCAAGTTCCTGGAAATTGGATGTCATCATCCAAAGACTCCTGCATCGGCATTTTGTTTAGCCATGTTACTACTGCAGGTTTGATCTAAAATTGGAGCGTTTGAACAGCGGGATGACACAGTTCACATGTTTCTTCTCCTTGTTCTCGTCCTATCGTCCAGCCAATGCCGTGATGGCCATCGTGTGTGTGTGTGTGTGTTTGTGTGTGTGGTCCCGGTGATGGTCGAGTGGCAGGTGGGTACACTTGTTTGTCAGTGTCCAAGGTCACTACACTCCTTAAATCACACAGGTAGAAAACCACCTGATCGTAGGTGAAAATGGTGATCCAAAGGGCAGTTTTCCACTTCCATGATGATTCCAAAAAAATAGCCAGCCGATCTTCAGATGGGAGTAGCCAGCCTATCTATACTTTAGATGTGTTTACTTGTTGTTGCTGTTTGTGTTGGTTGTGGATTCAAAAAAAGTGGCGGTAATCGGATCTATCAGAAGTGGCAGCGGTGGCAACAGTCTGAGATTCGCAATACATGCCAGAAGCCGCCCCATCCGGCAGCGAGTACATGGCCCTTTGATGCATAAGAATCATCAGAGCAATTACAATTGGATGTGCATTCCCAGAACCCATTTGACTGGTGTTTTAATAGGACATTTTCCATGGTCCAACATAGAGGTCACTCAGGTGGTTTGGTGGTTTAATAACATCCCCAAACCGGGTCAATGGATTTGTTGTCCTTCCACGGTGTCTTTCTTGGGAGGGCTCTCTATGAAAATGCACCTAGTAGCGTCCTTGCTCCTAGTAGCAATGCCCTAATTGCTCCTAGTAGTAAGGCCAGGAGCCCCTAGTAGCGCCCTTGCTCCTAGTAGCTTCCCCAATGGTCAAGACCCGGGGTGACGTCGACACTTGCTACAGCTCTTCAGCTCGGTAGCTCACCTGGGTAGCGAGCTACAGCGGCGTTTTGGTGACATGTTGGTTGAACCTTCAGAACCTTCGGCTAGGCGAACGAAAACACAGAAGAACTTCAACTCCAAAAGCTTCACCTTGAAATGTTGAGGAGGCGTTGTAACAGTGGAGATTTCTCATGGAGTTTGGTCCCTCATAACGATCCATGATCTTCCTGGGAAGAAAACGCTTGTTTTTGACCCAGCTCCCAACAACCACCACCCCAAAAGCACCCAACAACAACGCCGAACTCCTCGCCGGTTTCGCCCCACCCGTCGCATGTCCCGATGACGGGGGTCCGCCCTCGCCACAGACGGCGAAAGCTTCTGGCGCCCAGCCCGTGAAGAAGGTGCGTGACGCACGGCATGACGCACGGCCGGCGTTCACATGCGTGAATGCAGTATTCAATCATTCGCATGTGACGGTGCTTTGGGTTTTCTTCAAATTGTGGATATAACACTGTACGCATCATGCTCAGCGACCGGGGCCGGGGGGTCTTGTGCTATTTTCGCAAGTGGGTGCTTGAGATTCAAGGTCTTGATATATGATGTTGGTATATGTTGGTGGTATTCTCAAACAAGGCGTATCCCCGCTGATAAGTGCGAAAGAAGCATCAACACATATCAAAAACCAACACCATTCATTCTGAACTCCGAAACCTATCTAAACCTGCAAATGATCGGATTGGGATGGTGATGCTTTGCTTACCCTACCGAATGGGTGCATCTCAGTTTCGTTTGGTTCAGCGATCGAGTTTGTTGAGCTGAATGGATGCAGAACGATATTACGCAAATAACCCACGGAAAACACACTCCGGCGTTGCTACCAGACTGATTTGACAACATCAGTGCTGATGAGGATGTAAATGGAAGGACATGGAAGGACAGTTGATTACGTTGATGCAAAGTTTGTACTGAACCTGATTGCTACTCTGCACTTTGATCACCAACCATATGTTCTTCAGCTGCATGTTGCAGGTGACAACAAAGAAAAGCGGCAAGAGCAGCGTGTGGCTTTGGTGCAGTGTGACGTTTACTTCTGTATGGTAGGTTTGTTCAGGCGTTGATGATATAAATCATTACTGCAAGAGACCTTTAACTTTGCTCCCTGGGGCACGAAACCTTAGATCCCGAGAGAATCGCCGATGCACCTCGTCAATGCACCTCGTTTTCTCCTGAGAAGTGGCCTTGCTGACCGAAGTTGTTCAGGTTTCCTTAACAATATGTTCCTAGTAGCGTCCGATCGCTCCAAGCAGTAAGGCCAGGAGCCCCGTTCGTAGCGTCCTTGACAATACTAACAGACTAACAGTATATAAGAATATATATATAATATAATATATTATATATGTGTTTCTAGTATTCACTATCTCCATTGTGAGCACCCGAGGTATTCAATCACCCGATGTTGGAGTGACCCATGTTGATTTCTCAGAAGTCGGATTGTCCAAGGTTGGGAGACATAAGCATGACATGTAGCTTTGGAGAACGAAAGGTGGTAAGTATGGGAAATGAATAGAAATGCATCGTGTATGTGATGAACATGTGTTTAGAACACGATTTTAGGATCCGTAGAGTTGCTTTGGAGGGCGGAACAATTTGCGCAGAGTGCCACTGGCACCACTTCTTGGGGAGGTGCCTCCGCAGGTTTGTGTCTTAAGTCAGAAAATTACATAAAGAAACAAACCTAGCCCCGTTCGCAGCGTCCTTGCTCCTAGTAGCGATGCCCTTTGCTCCTAGTAGTAAGGCCAGGAGCCCCGTTCGTAGCTTGTCAAAACAAACCTTTCGGAGTCTCATAAAGACTCAAAGATACATCTTAAGGTCAGAAGCCTTGACGTGTCTTGTTCAACCGCCCTTGGCTCGCGCGATCTCGCACGCAGCCAGCTTCTTCGCCTTCTGCCAGCTCGTTCGCCGGCGAGGCCATTCTCGGGCAAGACCGAAAAGAAAAAGAAGAACAGCGGATGGCCTCTCGGCTTCCAGGGAAATGCGGAGATGGATGGAGTCTGAAGACCGGATGAGATGGCAGGGTGTATGCGGGTGTGCTGTTGTGCCTTTCTATTTTCTATATTGGTCCCCAAGGACTTACTCAGTTTTGGCCCAATGACTTGGACAATCCATGACAATCCCCTTCCATCATCCACTGGCCACCTCCATTCCAGCACCTGGTTTTGTTTTGCAGCTGGTGTTCAGAAGTTGTACCTCTTGGAACATGACCTGGTCATTTGCTTGTTGGCACTGTTTAGACATTGTTCTTGCCTATGTTGTTTATTTATGTGCTCCATGGCACTTAACTGAAAGGTTCTGCACCCATTTGTCAGTACGCCGTACGCATCAGTGCAACTATCAACAATTTGCTAGTCTGAAAGAAGAACAGTCAGATTATATCTCGTCCTTTCGAAAGATACCTGCTGAAATCCCACTTGCCCTCCTTCCCCACAATGCAGAACATAGGTCTTATCCAAGAAGTCGAGATTTTTTTCGCCATAGCCATACCCGGCGAGTGAGAAGTGTTCCCCTTCGATCGTCCGAACGCCAGGAACTCCCAAGAGCGACGCCAGTTGGGTGGCTACGGAAGCAGGACACGGTGGAATTGAAGATAGTAACAAGTGCCACGCTACTAGTAACAGGTGCCTTACTAGTAGTAACAAAGAAGCTATTAGTTAATTTAATTTTAAGTTAATCATCCTGAACATCGATAGAGTAGTCGGGTAGGAAACTGTGACCGAAGATGCCGTTTGGATTGGTTCGATATCTACTCCCGGATGGGGTTGTATCGGGATAGCAGAATGCTTGACACATCTCTACACAAACTACTTCGGTCTCATAGACAATAGAGGGGAAGCAAATGGAAGCAAAATCATGTGGACCTTCCCATTTCAGCTTCAGGAGCTTTCGGTTACGACATATTTGGATGAGTTGGCATTCCGACCCAGTAGGCCTCCGTTTTGAGAATCGTTTACAGCTATTTACAACATGTTACAACGTAATAGTACAAGCGTTTAGTTACTTGCTGGCCACCGGCTTCAACAGTTTCGCCAACACACCGGTCACCGAGTCTCACTCCGTTTGGCCTATGTCACACTGGCGTGCTGACGTGAAGGTTCATGGCGTGTGTAGCCCTGGGTGTGAAGGTCGATGGGAAATCCCATGAAATCCCACATGGTTTTGAGGCCAGCAACCAACCAAATCGGTCGATGACCATGTCGATGACAAACATTTGGACCCTGAAAACCCGGCAGGAAGGAAGCGCAGAAGGCCATTCAGGACAACGAAATCCCGGAAGGCATCAATGAAAAGGCACGAAGACCTTGGTAGGTTGCCAAGGTCACTTGAAATTGATAGTCTTGAAATTGAACGCAACTTGTGCCACTCAATCAATCGTATACTTGCTGTTGTCGTTCTCGGGAGTTGACGTTCTTCCGTGTTTGTGGATCTTTGTAGTCAGGGATAGCCAGGGTGTTAGGTGTGTTTTCTTTTGTTCTAACTTGGAAATGAGGAGTCCTCAGTGTAACTTCCCACTCGGTGGAAAGATTCTTCTTGGACATTCTCACCAATTGATGGCGAAACCCTTCGGCCTCAAAATGTTCGAAGGGACCCTTGCCCCATGGAAGACCATGGAAGACTTGCTTTCCCATGCTTTCTCCAAGCCATTCAGCCAAGCGTTCGGTCCACGATATCGAGGATGACCATCCAGCGTTCGGTCGGCGACCTCTGGCGTTTGGTGCCACCTCGGCGACCGCTTGGTGCCCTTTTCGGGCCCCGGCTGGACGGTCCGTTTCGCATCGTCGGCCGACTCGTCAGGTCGACAAACTCATGGAGAAGCTGAACCGACTCGTCGGTCTCACGAAGGCCGTGTCGGTGGAGTATGGGTTTTCTCGGTCGGTTCAGCTCACCGACCTGGAATCGGCCGCTGTTCTTTTTTCGCGAAGACCAGTTCGGCCATGACCCGGAAAGAAGTGTTTGTTCTATCTGTTTTGTTTGGTTTGTTTTTCTGTATTTCTTTCTGGCTTTCTGTCTGACACTGAGGCACAACTTGGTTGGTCCTCGATGCAGGAACCATGTTTAGCGATGAACACACTAATGCATGGAGGCACGAAACCAGAAATGCGGCTGAAACCTTATATAGGCAACACTTTGTGGTTTCAGCATGTTTCAGCATGTATCGGTTGTGGTTCTCAACAGACCGACGGTGGTCAACGGGGGGAATACCTTGTCGCATGGCGTGTTCCGCTTCCAGAGTCTGCTCCGCGAAACGGTACCTTACGGTACTCGGACCACTGTGGGGTACACAGAAAGCTGAGTAAAGAGGTGTAATTACCAAATGGATCCAAATGGTACTGCAGGTTGGCATGTTTTTCTCTGACCGGGACCTGTTTTGCCCATATTCTTGGACGTCACTTCGTTCAAGAAACCACGAGTCGAAGCCGAGTTTGGAAAGATCAGACTCAGCGAGGGCAATGGTTTGGATGATATGGCAGGATCAGTGAGGTTTGTGCGTGGTTCTTCTATTATTCCATCATGTAAAACCCTGGGTCTATTGATGTCTATTGTGTGTGTGCATTGTTTGTTTTTGTGTGTGTGTGCATTGTTTGTTTTTGTATATGGTTGTTTGTGTGTTCCCTTTTATGTTTTTCTCCGGGCGATTCTGAGGGAGGGCTTTATGACACATTTGCTGACGTCAGATGATTTGGTTTTGTGAATGGTCTTATTACTGAGTTGTACCTTGGACTTTCACGAGCTTGATTTTCAGCCATGTTCTTTGACACATGTTCTGAACGACAATGATAGTGACTGGTGACTAAGTACAACTCCAACTTGCCAACTTTCATGGATGACATGTTCTTTCCGGAAGCCAGGTGAAGGCCGGCATGGCGGAGCTGAGAGCCATGGTGGAGTTTGATCAGTGGTTCGAACGCTCAGTCGCAGTGGTGTGGTTATGAAAGCGTTTTTTTCCCGCACCAGGGGCACAAGGGGAGGTGCTCAGCTACTCGGGGAGGTGCTCAGTCAACCTGGGTTGATCAGTGAGAGATTCCCTCATTCTTCAAGCATATTACTATGATAGAGACATGCAGTCTGCACTGGCGACTATTCACCAGAGAACCTGATCATCCAGATTTGGCTAGGATTGACATGGCCAAAATGAGGTTGCAAGCGCTATTGATAGACAGTTGCTTAATGATCACTGGTCTTTTGCTTCGTTTTGCTTGATGCGTCCACCAAGATGCCCTTTTCGGAAGATGCGTCCACCATTCTCCGTGCTCGCGGAGCGGAGCCGTCTCCAAGGCGGCGGAAGTTGCTTCCAGCAGCAAAGAGCTTGATGGGACAATCCTTCCACATGCAATTCCTCGGCAATCCAGGTGGAACTCTCAGAGAACAGATTCTACCTCAGAACATGTATTTCCAACAGCGTGACAGTGTCGCCAGGTTGGGATGTTTTTTACTGGGAGACTTGTGGGACGACTTGGGGGTCTCGGCCCCGAGGTTGAAGTTGGAAAGCCTTGTACCAATGTCAGGGTGACACAGAGATGGACCGTTTTCATATGTTGTCATGCTTCTTTGGGATATGAAATGGGATCCAACCGTGGGGGTCTTCTCAGAGTTGAACGGGGGTGTTCAGATGGGCTCCATGACGAATCCTGCAAGACCTGTTCCGTATTTTTGGGTGCTAGCAAGGGGGAAGGTGGGTACACCACAGTTTCCCATAGTTTGATCCTGATTCTTCTCAAGTGATTCCTGGAGCAATCAGATTCCCTTGCTTGTCTCAAGCACAGCGAAACATGGAATTGCCTTGAGCTGCCCTTGAAACCAAGCGATGCTTGTGTTGGAACTGGCTTCCTACTTATTCTTGACGATCTTGTCCCAATAGTCCAATTCAGTTTGGTTGGCAGCTACATAATAGCTTGTGCGATTACCCTTGTTTAGTTTTGTTTGTTGTTCTTGAACATGTCCCGCTTGCAAGCCCTTGCATTCGATGGAGTTGTTCCGACGGTCAAGCTGCAGCACGCATGTCAGTATTGAAAACCAATCAGCTTTGATTCCAGACATACAATCTACATTAATCTACTAGAGGTACATCAGCCTTTTCCTTTGTAGTACCCTTGAACATCGGTTCCATCAGATGCGATCCTTGGCACGTCTTCTTTGGATCGGCCAGGTACTGGCAAGACGGTGGTTGCTCGTTTGGTGGGAAAGCTCCTGGTGGAAATGGGCGTCATCAAGAAGAAGGACCGTCTCCAGACGTTGCTGTGGTCTTCGCTGCCGGGGTCAGGTGTTCGACGCCGACCTTGGCGGACCCTTTTCGGTGAAGAAAAGGGAACTGGACCCGTTTTTGGTTGCAGAAGCTCTTCATATCCAATGTGACCAGATGTTAAGATGGATGAATCAGGATGTTGCAGAAGCTCTTCGGAGTTGGATGTTTCATGGGTCACTTACGTGAGATGGGTCGTGAGCCGACCAGGGTCCGGACCTTTTTGGGCTGGTTTTCGTCGTTCGCGCTGGGAAGGGAGGGAGGCGAACGAGGTGGTCACAGAGGCCGATGCACTCGCGCCCATGGTCCACTCCCGACTTTGACACACGGGTGGTTGTGACTTCATCCTTGCACCTTTAGTAAACGACTTTTGGAGGGTGTGACACCGATTGTGATATCTTTGGCCACATCAACATCCAAGACCCACAATCAGAGCTCACGAATGGCTTCAGGATCGGCCCCCCCGACTCCTTCCTTCTTCAGAATGGGAGTTTGTTTGACTGACTGGCACGCGGAATACACATCAAGAGTGTGATGTCCAACTAAAAGGAATGGTGAATGCATCTGGATCATCTCAAAACATGCACATTCCATTTTAGTTTATCGTGTGGCTCCTCATCACACCAGGACTACGTTGCAGCTTCGATCCTCCAATGTGTGGTGTTTGTTTCCCCATCAGGAGAAAGACAAGGATGAGGCCATCTTCCACGAAGTGTCCCGTGCAGATCTGGTGGCAGAGTACAAGGGGCAGACAGCGCCCAAGGCGCTCAGAGCGGCGCTCAGAGCGGCGCAACCCGCGTGTCGGGGTCCGGTGCGACGATGGGACAGTGCAACGACACGCACAAGAGAAGGTATTAAGAAACAATGGCGCTATGATGCTCTATGCTGGAGTTGAAGGAAGCAGATGTTGGTGAGAAGGCTGAAGGCTTTGAGGACACAAGAGAGGATATGGTTCACCAAGCAAGCTAGGATATCCACCCGAGTGAGGGAGCACCCTCAAGCAAACCGGCAGAGAGATTGTGGTCACAGTCCAACAAAGCAACATACAGTATCATACAGTAAAGGTCAAAACTTGTAGTATCCCAGACTTGTTCAGTCTTCATCCACCATCATCCACCCATCCTTTGCTGCTGTTCTCCTTGCTGACAGGTCTTGGGTGCAGTGTCCAAGGCTATCGGTGGGGTGCTCTTCGTGGATGAGGCATACTCACTGAAGAAGGCAGGCAGTTGATAACGCAGTGGGTGGTTCTAGATCAATATTTATGGGGCGAATTAAGATGGGTGCATCGGCATCGGATTGCTTTTAGATGCTGGAGGGAGGTCAGGAAACGTTGTATTCATACTATGTATTGTCAAAAACAATGACTTACAAGAAGATGGAGTGAAGCAGTCAGATGCAGTCAGGAAGCATTTTCTCGATGAAACCACGTATTCCGGTGCTCTTGTTTGCAGGAAGGAAAAGACTCCTTCGGACAAGAGGCGGTAGACACTTTGATCAAAGAGATTGAGGACAAGCGAGACCAGGCCATTGGCTTAACTCAGTTAACTCCTGCACACGATGGAGCAAGACGACGGACGTGTTTGCCTTGTTTCCAAAAGCAGCTGAGTACCGAAGACGTTTGATCACTTCATTGGCAGGTGGTTGCCATCTTCGCAGGCATGGGTTTTCTCGTACCTGTCTAGTCGTTAAGCGGCTGTGACATGAAGGTAGATGGTGTTAGGGAATTGTCCTCCAGGTAGATCTTGCCTGGAGGGTTCGCTGTAGAATCAGCAACTGAAGCCGCGGAGGTCGCAGGAACTGGTCGTTGTGTACTTGTTCTTGAGAGAAGCCCCTCCAGGCTATGAGAAGGAGATGGAGACCTTCTTTGAAGCAAATCCAGGCTTTAAGAGTGCCTTGTAACGATATGGTTGAAACAGGCCACATTTTTGAGGTTGAGTTGATGGGAATCAGCTCAAACTGATGTTTCAGTGTTGAGACTGTTGCCATGCCGGTGGCCCCAGAGTTGTTCTGGATTACAAGCATTCTTGCTGAGAGCCCATTTGGTCAAAGGTTCTTTTGGTCAAAGACCTCCCCCTGGCTTTCCGTTGTGAGCCATATATCCGCTGCAAATAGGCAAAGATTTCGTCGAACTCTTCAAATTTCACCTATCGATGTTTGAGCCGAAAAAAATGGAAGGTCTCACCCACCAGGAAAGCATTTGTGATATTTTTTGAGTTGTTTTTTTGTTGAATAGATTTGAATAATATGATCCATATAATATGTGGACTGGGACATCAATATATATTGTATATAGACTGTCATTGCTGAGTTTCTTCACAAATCTGAGGTCGTGTCCCCTTCAAGTTCTACTTCGATGATTACACTTGCGCGGAGCTCAACCACATCTCTGGCATTTTCCTGGAGGACAAGGCCGTGCCACTCGTCACCGTAGCGCAGACTATACCTCCTTGGGAAAGCGCAGCCTGGGATAGCCTGGGCACTGAACAAACAAGCTTTGCGTTTGGAACTATATGAACGGTCTCAATGCTCCTCTTACTTGCAGGTCTCAACCCCAAAAAGCTGAAATAACAAACCTGTGGCCCCCCACCGTTCTTTTTCGGTCACTGCCACACCGGTCGCGTCGCCTTCGCATGACCCACGGGGTGCGGCAGGGCTTCACGGCTTCCGATGAAGCGAAGAAGTGGATTGACCGAACTGTGCGCTTCAGCACGGGCTGCTGCGACGACCAGGGCTCCGACTGTGAAGCGCTCCTGGGACCGGTGGATTTGGCGCTTTTGGGGCCGGGAGGTTTCGGGGGAATTTGGGTTCCAAACGTCCAAGTGCTGACCACGTGGGCACCATGTGAGTTAAGCAGAAATTGAGATACATTGGATGACAGATGTTGCACATAGTGACATGTTGTAGTACATTGATAATGCTGACAAACGACAGGTGGATGTGCGCCGCGTGATTCTCTGGACGTGTTCTTCCTTCGTCCTCTAGTGCGACATAGCAAAATTGCGACAATGCAGTCTTTCACCAAGTGTGTCAAGCCTTTTGGCCGTGCCGTGCTTCTTTTCTTGAGCACTGCCCATGTCCGATGGTTGATAGATGTTGATAGATAGACCCTCACGTAGAAGAAAACTTCGGAGGTTGCTGACTGCTGGATCCGATCCTCCTATCATGAGCGATTGAGGAGCCTCTATACAGGAGCAGATGAAATATATATATGGCTTCAAAGTTGTGTGGTGTCACAACAAATTAGCAATGCTCGCGTTTAAAGCTGCTTTGGGACTTGGGCACGTTTAGCAGGTTTAGCCTTCGTAATTCTTTGATGCGATTTGATCTATATGTTTTGTTTGAAGAAAAACATAAGATCGCTTCAAACAAATGAATTTAATGTGTATATATCTCTTCGGCGACGGCTTTCTTACTCTACGAGGAGATTTTGTGGTCGTGAGGACCATCGTCGGACTCGACCAAAAAAATACAGGGCACCTTGGCCAAGAAAGCAGGACACCTTTCATTTATATATCTAAAGTCCGTCAAGGAACATAGATGAACATAGCAACATTAGAGGGACTAGGAGGGACTTCGAACTGGAGCCAACATGATGTTTTGTCCGATCTAGTTCAGCAAGATGTTTGACCCTCCCAATGTCCCAAAGTTCTATAGGTGGCCAAGATTGCTTGAGGGCTGTTTCTGGCATGATCAAAAGCAAAGTGTGAAAGCAGCTTTTGGTTAGTAGTATCAACAGAACTTCCAATGGCTCATTCTACTCCACCTGGTAGTCAATCCATCCACCATGGGCCCATTGGGGGTAGTTCATGAGTCATATCGATTCTGAGGGATCAACGGTGGTTCCCCTGTTGTTTGTATTCTGCGAAGACCTCTTGTTGTCAATGGATATCGCGGAGCACATGGAACAGTCATGGAACAGTCCCACCAAAGGGTGAAAGAGCCCCAAGTACATACGGAGAAAGAGACAGTAAATACATTTTTTGAATCCACAAAGGATGAGGATGTGCCATCTTTGTTTTTGCAGGATTTGCTACATGATTTTTGTGAGCACATACGTTTATACTCGTACTTCACATTCAATAATATAATAGAAGCTTTCTGCAAATGTTCACCCAACCTAGCATATTTTATCTCTTGCTCATCCTACAAGTGACGATGAGGAGGGGACTTAATGCTTGCTCTTCACGACAGCGGGGGACCTGTTTAACTCCATGTAGCTCTCATTCACTTCACTACCAGACCACAAAATCAAAGAAGCAAATCCACATTATATATATATAGTGTTGGTTTGTTTTTTTTAATTGTTTTTTTGCTGTTTTGCTTATTTTTTTTGGGGGGGCTTCTAGAATTCTACAGTAGAAATTCTTGGAGTTTGGCTATCAACTATGCTTAAATCAGACCTCCCACACCTCTTCCCCTCCGCTTCCGGAGCGCCCCTCCCAAGGCTCCGTGACAGCGGCAACGGCCGCACCGTACGGAACATCCTGGAGGCCCAGCGGCGTTCCCGGGGGGGGGGTGTGACCGGTGTTGAAACGATCACCGACCGGGGTGCTTGGCAGTCCCGTGCTTGGCCATTTCTGAAAATGATGACTTCCTTTGTTGGACTTCTGGGATGATCATGACAGTGATCATGACATCTTTGTCCATCTCTTCCATCAAACCTTGCCAAAGCAATGCTCTCCATGAGTTGAGAAGTGTTTTGCTGCTCTCTGGGATGGCTCTCTTCGGCTTTGTCGACCAAAAACACAGGCCCGGAGGCCTAGAGAGAAATGGACATCATGCGCATCATGCTGAAAGCAGATGTGTTTCCTCTTTGCGGGATAAATGTGCCATCAAAAGGAGTGGAGGAGTGCTTGGGGAGAAGAGTTAGCTGGGTTATGAACAGGAGATTAGATTGAAGATCGGTTACTGCGGGAATGTGTTCTATGAAAGGATCGAAAACGACTTCAATGCTAGGTTGACTCATGCTGGTTGAGCTCGATATGTTTGTTTGCAGCCATTGTCAGAGCTCGCTCTTGTTGAGCTCGAAACATCGCACCAGCCATGCGCGAAGGCCGTGTGTTGGTGCGGCAAAGTACCGATCCCCTGGGTGCGGATGAGGTGCACTTGGGGGATTTGGAGGTGGCGAGCGAACAGCACCAGCAGCTTCTGCCGAAAGAAGGGGAACATGGACATGACTGGCGTGGGACAAGGCTTTTCAGCACATGCTCTTTGGTGGTGCTCAGCCTCCTAGGGTGCCTAGTGGCCTGGCACGCTTGGCGTGCCTCGATCCCTGTGGAATCCGGAGAAGAGGTGGGGATGTCGATGGAGAGGTGCAGAACAATAACATGCTCGAAGAAGGGTTCGCAGGCGTGGGTAAAGCCGCCGAAGGAGTTGGTAAATTGATGTCTTCACCTATTAAGCTGAACATCAATTCAAACAACGGTCACAACATTGAAACAACAGCCAACAACACTGGCAAGACAGCCAAAACGCCCACCCTTGACGGAAACACCCTTGCACCCCCGACCCCGACAGTACTGAATGTCACAAATACTTTCAGTCTACCCCAACCAGCGACACTGGCGGCTCCGACCCCAGCGATTCTAGGAAGTCCAGCGCCGATAGTGCCCCAACCAGCGACACCAGCGGCTCCGACCCCAGCCATTCCAGGAATTCCTCCGCCGATAGTGCCCCAACCAGCGACACCGGCGGCTCCGACCCCAGCG